TTTTTATTTTTTATTTTTTATAAATAATCTAAGCACAGTGATCTAAAAAATGGTCCAATCAAATTATCGAACTAAGTGTTAGGAAATCGAGAAGCCCACAAGCACATAGTAATACTTATCCAACGTGAAACTCTACCTTCACACATGTTCCAACAATCTTGGAGAGCCCATCTAATGTGTATTAACACTCATCTTTTTTACTCTTTATCCGATGTGAGACTTTACTTTCACATATGCTCCAACAATCTTCCATTCACACTCGCTTTGCTCTCCTTCAAGTCTTATTAATCATCAGCAGATTTATCATAAATCATATGTACTCTCTTTAATCTTGATTTATAACTCTCCAACATCAAGTCTAATTTGGGCCACCTGCACACACTTTTACCATGTGCATCAGGAATTTTCTTTGTTCCAACAAGAGTTGTCATGGATTTTTCTTACTCCATTAAGAGTCTCCGTGCAAACCCAAGGCCAACAACATCTTCCAGCAGAGTTCGCTTGTAGATCATCTATCATAGACTCTAATACCAATTGTTAAGGAATTGGGAACCTCCACAAGCGCATACTAATACCGGCCCAATCCATCTATAAGTAGAGAATTTATCTAATATATATTAACAATCATCTCTTTTAACTCTCTATTCAATGTGAGATTTGTAAGAGGGGCTAATTTGAGCCCACTAAATTATTTAGGCCCAATAGCCCAAGATTAGTGGGCCCGAATTTATCGCAAGTCCAAGAATCGGTGGGCCCAGATTTATCGCCATCAAACGGATTGAATCGCTCTAAGCCTCGAAAGGGTTCGGATCCACGAACCTAGAGACTTACTCAGGCCCGGAACTCGAAAGGGTATTAGGCAAGCCTAGAGATCCGAGGCACTCGGACTCGAAAGGATTCGGACCCACGAATCTAGAGATCCGAAGTACTTGGCTTCGAACGGATTCAGACGCAATCTAGAAGTCGCTCCGTTAATGAGTCCCAGAACACTTGCGGGCTCGGAGCTTTCCGGGGTCTACGTACCAGAACCATGGGCGTAATGGAGTTCGAACAAAGGACCCGATCCCGACGACGGTGAGTGGAGATAAATTCACTCTTCGGTTAAACTAGCCTATACCCGGGTCGAGGTGGCACGACCCCGGGGGGTCCATGAGACTCGGCAATATTTAGCAGTGGGGGTCCTCTAGGACTACCTCGGCCCTTTGGGATGATTGCCCAAGCCCGACTCTAGTTAAATCTGAATTACTCGAGTTGCCTGATTTGCCCGAATTTTTTTTTTTTTTTAGTTTTTTTTTTTTTTTTTTTTTTTTTTTTTTTTTTTTTTTTTTTTTTTTTTTTTTTGTTTTTTTTTTTATGTTGAAAGAAGAAAAAAAAAATATATATATATATATATTTAAAAAAAAAAAGTGAAAAATGTGATGATGGTGTTGGGGGAAAAGATGGTAAAATATGTGAAAATGGAAAATATGTTAAAATAAGAAAGTGAATGGGTGGCCCGAGGAGGTTCAATGCATGTGAGGTGCTGATGTATTTATTTATGGTATTGGTGGTTGGTGGGTATTGTATAGTTTATTGTATTGTTATTTTATGTTATGTGTTGTTGTGAAAGCTGCCGAGAGAGTGAGAGAAGGAAGTGGGGTGGGTGTGTGTGGGGTTAAATAAAATATGAGAGAGTGGGTTTTCAATTCTGCCAAAAGGAAGAGACAAAGGACTTGTGGGTGCAAGCAGACATGGATGGAAATGGTGTTCTTGATTTTAAAGAATTTCAGCAGCGAATTTGGCATCCTACTTGGTCAGAGGAAAGAGATGGCATATGCAATGAGGTCTGGGAAGATGTTGTGGACAATATGGAGCAAACTATTGGTTTCAGTGTCAAGAATGCAGTTCATTTCCTCACGGAAGTGGAGAAAGGAATGTGGCCTGAAGACTATTCTCTTTCAGATCACGCCCGACTTACGGTGGTGTTTTCACCAGTAAGAATGCCATGTGGTTCATTGATAGCCTGACCATAAAAAGAGTAGACAGACGAATGAGAAAGGTCAGGGGCTTGTACACGAGCTGTGGGTGTCCATATGGCCATCATAATTTCTCAAAAGGGAGATCTTAAGCTTGATCCTGATGGAGCCGTGATCAAATGGCGTAACATCTGCTGCAGCTGGAGCACTTGACTGCTTTGCTCCGGTGGTGGCTGACTTGGAAGTGGGGGCTGTTCCTGCGGAAATGAAGGCCCCATGCTAGGTGGAGGTTTGTTACCTAAATGAAACATGGGCTGTGAATGATGCAGCTGAGGTGGACCAGAGTGCTGGAAACCAGGGTTCTGCCCAATTTGTGAATGAATCTGGTGAGAGAAAACCGGCATTGAAGGTGGTCTGGAGCACTTGACTGCTTTGCGCCGGTGGTGGCTGACTTGGAAGTGGGGGCTGTCCCTGCGGAAATGAAGGCCCCATGCTAGGTGGAGGTTTGTTACCTAAATAAAACATGGGCTGTGAATGATGCAGCTGAGGTGGACCAGAGTGCTGGAAACCACGGTTCTGCCCAATTTGTGAATGAATCTGGTGAGAGAAAACCGGCATTGAAGGTGGTCTCGGTTGTGGTGGCAGTGGGGGTTGCAGTGGCAGATGCATAATGCCACTAGTCTGTATTGGTTGCTGCCATTAATAAAAGACCACGCTCATCATGCTTTAGCTTGGATGATGGTTCATCTGGAAACTGAGAGAGTGACAGCTTCCGCTAACTCCGAATCAAAATAGCGGGAGAGAAGGTATGTGTAGTACATAGATCATGTTCTGACGGTTCAAGAAGTGTCGCCCAAGTGTTTGAGAAGTATCTCTAAGGTATGTGATATTATAAATTTATATTTGATATTATAATCTTGATGTTAAAATACATGTATTATTGATTGATGTTTGATTGATATATTGATTGATACTTACAAGATTAATTGATTACAATTCCTATACAATCTATATATAGAAGAAAATGTGGTAGTAGGTGTAGTGGAAGTGATAGTGGGTTAGGTGAAGTGGAGTGTGTGGTGAAGTGGAGGTAGGTGAAGTGGAGTGTGTAGTGGAGTAGATGAAGGTAAAGATGGGAAATTCTAACAAGTAGGTGAGTGTGAATGGTAAATTCTAACAAGATTCATTACATAGATCATGTTCTGACGGTTCAAGAAGTGTCGCCCAAGTGTTTGAGAAGTATCTCTAAGGTATGTGATATTATAAATTTATATTTGTAATTAAGACATGTTGAAGAAGTGTCAGACATGCTTTTTAGGAGTGTCTTGTGTCTGACACAACATGCCTTCTCTATAGAAGTGTCTGTGCTGGCCTAATTACACTAAACACTCCTAGACAACGTTTCATTGTGTGATTGAATGATGAAAATACGCTTAGATAGAAACCCAAAAAAGATAGAATATTTGATAAAATAAAATTCTGAATTATAGCAGAGTACAGAATGAATTCATCAGCTTCTAATGGGAAAGTACTTAATTATTGTAGTGTTTTTATTGTTGAAAGATAAATTTTCACATTCATTTCATACTAAATAAATTTAGTATGGCCCTAAAATGCTACAAAGCCACTAATATGGTCCTAAAAAGGATTTACTGACGACTATAGCCACCCACTTAAAATTGTGGCCGTAGATAATTCCATTAATCAATAGGTGGCTTAAGATCCATCTGTCTATCACATGATATAATATATCACATGCAAACCAAACGACATGGACATGGGTTGATGATGCTGGGGGTTACACGGTCTTGAATCAAACTCAACTCCAAAAGCTCGACTATTGAGGTGAGGGTGCCCTTCTGCTAAAATATTACATATTAATTTTATACCCTAGTGACATAGGTCTTTGCTTCACATCTTCCTCACATGCATTGTGCTCGCTAGGCAGGTGTAGCACATATCACATACAAGCCAGCGACACGGACCTTTCCATTCTTGGGTACTCTAGCTCTGATATTATGTCACAAGGTTTTGAGTAGAACTTAATCCCAAAAGCTAGCTATTAAGGTAAGAGCGTCCTCACACTTATATACTGCACACTCATTTCATACCCAAGCCATGTAGGACTTCGCTTCATACCCTCCATGTGCAACGTGCTACTCAGCAGCACCTGTTGCAGCCTATAGGTAGACCACGAACACACACCGTGCTCATTCATGAATATTCCGACTCTGATACCATGTTGCTCAGTCTTGTGTAGAACTCAACCACAAAATCTAACTATTGAGGTGAGATTGCCCTTGCGCTTATATAGTGCACATTACTTTTGTACCTAGGTGATGTGAGATTTCGCTATCCCTCACATGCAACACCTGCTATGTGCAAGCTAGGGATGCGCATCATACCCATCCCTAGGTATTCCAGCTTTGATACCTTGTTACATAGTCTTAGGCAGAATTCAATCCAAAAAGCTAGCTATTGAGGTGAAGGTGCCCTCATGCTTATATATTGCACACCATGCTACATGGTCTTGGGTAGCTCCAAAGGCTAGCTATTGAGATGAGGGTGCCCTTATGCTTAAATACTAAATATTACTTTTGTACCTAGGCGATATAGGACTTCATATCATAGTCATAATCTCTCTGACTCTAGCAAGTGCAACTGCCACCACTAAATAGGATGAGATAATCATTTAAATATTGAATGTCCTTATTTAAGTAAAGAAAAGAACCATTACATGGCCTTAAGAAACACAGAACTTGACAACAATAACATGTGAAAAACACATAAACCCAGTCATTGCTTCATGGTATATCCAGATGTTTCGTTGTTCAATTATTCTATTGAACAAAATACAGTGGACCCATTCTTATTTGGTTTGTATACTCGGAAAACATTGTAAAGCGTGCTGTTACTGCCGCTCTGTCTGAAAGGTTTCATCCATGTCTGATGGTTGGGTTTTCATTTGCTAATGTTTCAGGCGAAGCTTTGATTGAGTTTCTAAAGGCTCTAAATGATTCCAGTGGAAGAATTACAGATTGGAATGATCATTTTGTCAGCCCATGCTTTAGTTGGTCTCATATCACTTGTAAAAATGGAAATGTTATATCCCTGTAAGTTTTTTTTTCCTATGAAGATATCTTTGTCATTTCATTATTATATCACACACAAAATTCAATTTTCTATAATTGGTGTAACCCAGATTTTTTATTCCCAGTATCAATATATTGACCAAGCTTTTATTATGCTTATGTATGGTTTGTAGTAAAATTAGTTTTTAAATGTATTAATTTGCAGGAGCTTGGGTTCAAATGGATTTTCAGGAACTCTGTCACCATCAATTACTAAATTGAAGTTTCTGGTTAGCTTGTAAGTCAAGATCTTAATGGTACACTCGCATTTCATTGCTTTTTTCATAATCCTGTAATCCCAAAGATGCACACGGCCAACAAGAGCACACACTCAGTGAGACGAGAACAAGTCCCAACCTAGCCTAAAAATGGAAAACCCAATCACAATCTGATTGGCTACGCATGGATATAAAACATAGACTCATTGGCATAATAACATAACACGTTGAATCACATAACCAAGAAATATAAGACACTTGCCACCCAAAAGGTGCCAAACTTTTAGTTATGTGGCAGTCAATAATACCCATGGTCGCCAGTTAAACCACTCTAAAGCTGCTGCTGTGAGCCTGGTTCAGCAAAAAATAAAATAAAATCAGACACACATGCACACACACACAGACCAGTCCCCAAAAAAGGCTCGCAGCTGACCGCAAAATTGAGAATGCTCCGGATTTTGTCCAATCAGTGGGTAGGTGAGACAATTGCCCAAGCCAGCCAAATCAATCCAGAAAAGACACACTTAGCCATGCTTAAGCATCAGCTATCTTTAACCTCACAGTGGGCAATACCACATCACCTCCGGCAACACAAAAGAAAGCCCATGCAACTATTCTTACAACACCTCTGGTGTAGAACGTAGTACGGAAAATAGAGTGAAGAAACACTCAAGATGCCACAACCTTAAACACTCTCAATATATATGAATAATACAATGCAAAACATAATATTTATAAGCCTAGTTGGACATTCATTCAATAAGTTGTAGGTTTAGAGAAGAGAAAGAGTTAGGGAATGAGTTAGACCTTATCCCCTTTTATATTAATAATAATGAGTAATTGCAGGAGCGTCATAAGGCATAAATTATGGGTCAGTCCATTACATCAATCAAGAGAAAATAAAATCAAATAAGCATAAAATATATAAATATTATTTCCTATTCTAACACTCCCCTTCAAGTTGGTGCGAAGATATTTCTCATACTCAGCTTGTTGAGAATGTTATGAAATGGTTTGCTCCCTATTCCTTTGGTGAAAACATCTGCTAGTTGGTCCCTGGTCTTCACAAATGGAGTACATATGGTGCCACTAGTGAGTTTTTCCTTGATGAAATGTCTATCAATCTCCACATGCTTGGTTCTGTCATGTTGAACTAGATTATGAGCTATGCTGATCGCCGCCTTGTTGTCACAGTACAACCTCATGGAATCGGTCTGATGGATCCCCAAGTCTCCCAACAATAGTCTAATCTATAGCAATTCACATAAACCCTGTGCCATATCCTGAATTCTCCTTCAACACTAGATCTAGCAATCACATTTTGTTTCTTATTTCGCCATGTGACTAGGTTGTCTCCAACAAATGTGCAATGTCCAAAAGTTGACCGTCCGTCACTGACTGACCCAGCCCAATCCGCATTAGTAAATGCCTCCACACCGAGATGTCCATGTTTTGAGAAATAGAGACCCTTTCCAGGAGAAAACTTCAGGTATCTCAGGATTCTTATAACTGCCTCTAAGTGGGAAGTTCTAGGAGCATGCATAAACTGGCTAACCATGCTCACTGCAATGGCAATGTCTGGACGTGATATGAGCTTACCCACTAGTCTCTGGTATCTTCCCCTGTCCACTGGCTTGCCCGCTTGATCCTCATTTAGTTTTTGGCCCGATTCTAGAGGTGTATCGTATGGTTTACCTCCAAACATCCCAGTTTCCTTTAGCAAGTCAAGTACATATTTTCTCTGACATATGAAGATACCATCCTTGGACCTAGCTACTTCAATGCCTAAGAAATACTTCAAATTACCTAAGACTTTGATTTCAAACTTCTTAGCTAAGTATTTTCAACTGAGGGATCTCCTCAGCGTCATCTCTTGTCAGAACAATATCATTAACATGAACAATAAGAGTTGTGGTCTTACCATGTGAAGAGTGTTTCACAAATAAGATGTGATCAGTTTGACTTTGCTTGAACCCATATCTTTGCATAGCTTGAGCTGTGGTCTTGACTGCTTTAGCCTATAAAGTGACTTCCGAAGCCTGCATACTTTACCTTTGGACTTAGCATTCGCAAAACCAGGAGGAATATTCATGTAGACCTTTTTTACTAGGTCTCTATGAAGGAAGGCATTCTTCACATTAAACTGATAAAGTAGCCGATTCAAATTTGCTGCAAGAGAGAGTAGTATTCTCACAGAGTTCATCTTAGCAATCAGTGCAAATGTTTCCTGGTAATCTACCCCATAAGTCTGAGTGAAGCCCTTAGGAACCAGTCTTGTTTTGTTCCGTTCTATGGAACCATCTGCTTTGTATTTTGCATTATACATCTGCTTACACCCAATTGGATTTTTGCCTTTAGGTAACTCCACTAACTCCCAAGTGCCATTCTTGCTGAGAGCTCTCATTTCCTCCATCACGGCATGTTTCCATTTAGGAATAGAGAGAGCATCCTGAAAATTGGTAAGTAGACTCACAGAAGAAATCTTAGACAGAAAGGCTTTATATGAGGAAGACAGATTAGAATAAGAGACATGATTAGTAATAGGATGCTGAGTACATGACCTGACCCCCTTCCTGTTAGCAATTGGAACATTAAGATTTGAAAACTCAGGAATAGGAACGTTAGGATCAGAATTACTTGGGTTTTCAGGAGAGGAGGATGACTCTGGACACTCATTCGGAGGAGAAGTTGGCAGTAGAGAAAGGAAAGTAGTCTTTTGCATCCAGGTGACTTTCTATCTATTCTTGTCCTTGACATAAACTTTGCCTGCTTCCTTTTCTACAACAACTGTTGGTGTATCATTCTCAATTTGTTTAACCACTGGTGGTAGTGGAACAATCTTTTCACACCAAGGCTCTCCTTGAAGGGATGATTGTGACACTGGGGAGGTGAGAAAGTAAGACTGAGACTCAAAGAATGTGACATCCATAGAGACAAACCATTTGCTAGTGGGAGGATGACAACACTTACTGATAAATTTAGAGAATACTAGATTAGGGAATGATTAGGATATTATCCCCTATTTATATTAATGAAGATCAATAATTACAAGGGAGCCCTAAGACATAGAATAATTACAAAATAAGAACCCAAATAATAATAATATATTATTCTAACGCTCCCCCTCAAACTGGTGTGAAGATATCTCACACGCCTAGCTTGCCTAAAATGTCATGAAAGGGCTTACTTCCAACTCCCTTGGTGAGGATGTCAGCAAGTTGTTCACCAGACTGCACAAAGGGAGTACATATCATACCACTAGTGAGTTTCTCCTTAATGAAGTGGCGATTAACCTCAACATGCTTTGTCCTGTCATCTTGAACCGAATTATGAGCAATGTTGATAGCGGCCTTATTATCATAATATAACCGCATGGAGTCCGTCTGATCAATACCTAGATCACTCAATAATAACTTGATCCATATGAGCTCACACACCCCTTGTGCCATATCTCTAAACTCAACATCTGCACTTGACCTGGCAACCACATTTTGTTTCTTACTCCTCCAAGTAACTAGGTTGCTTCCAACAAAGGTGCAATACCCTGAAGTCGATCTCCTATCAGTTACTGATCCACCCAGTCAACATCTGTATAGGCTTCCACACGAAGATGATCATACTTTGAAAATAAAGACCCTTACCAGGAGTAGACTTCAAGTACCTCAAAATTCTCATGACAGCCTCGAAGTGAATCTGATGAGGAGCATGTATAAACTGGCTAACCACACTGACAGCAACAGCAATATCTGGACGAGAGTGAGATAGGTAAATAAGCTTACTTACTAATCGCTGATAGCTCTCCCTATCAACAGCTGCTCCCAACAGCTGCTCCTCCTTCATCATACCCTAATTTCTGATTGGGTTCTAGTGGAGTATCACAGGACTTGCTGCCAAGCATCCCCGTTTCTTTCAACAGGTCAAGTGCATACTTCCTTTGTGAGATAAAAATCTCATCCTTGGAGCGAGCAACTTCAATTCTCAGAAAATTCTTTAAGCTTCCGAAGTCTTTGATTTCGAACTCACTGGCTAAATATTTCTTCAAGAGAGGTATTTCCTCACTATCATCGCCTGTAAGAATTATGTCATCTACATAAACAATGAGTGCTGTAGTCTTACCACGTGAGTAATGTTTCACAAATAAGGTGTGATCTGCTTGCCTCTGTTTGAAGCCATATTTAAGCATAGCCTGAGTGAATCTCTCAAACCAAGCCCTTGGAGACTGTTTGAGATCATAAAATGACTTTCGAAGCCTGCATACTTTGCCTTCTGCCTTATGATCCTCAAAACCAGGAGGAATGTCCATATATATCTCTTCTTCAAGGTCACCATGGAGAATGGTATTCTTTACATCAAACTGATGAAGTGGCCAATCTAGATTAGCTGCTAGAGAGAGAAATACTCTGACCGAATTCATCTTAGCCATTGCTGCAAAGGTTTCCTGATAGTCAACGCCATATGTCTGAGTGAACCCTTTTGCCACAAGTCTAGCCTTATAACGCTCAATAGACCCATCCGCTTTGTGTTTCTCAGTATACACCCATTTGCATCCCACATATCATTTGCCCTTAGGTAACTCAGTCAATTCCCAAGTGCCATTCTTGTTAAGTGCTTTCATGTCCTCAATCATGGCAAGTTTCCACTCAGAGGTAACAAGAGCATCCTGAAAATGGTTAGGAATGTTAACAGAAGAAATATTTGACACAAACGCTCTTTAGGAGGATGATAAATGGGAGTAGAACACAAAATTTGAGATAAGATGTTGAGTACAAGATCTCACACCCTTGCTCTTGGCAATAGGAACATCAAGATCAATGGACTCAAGAGATTCAAAGTTACCTGGACTCTCATCAGAAGCAGGAGATGGTAGTGGAGGAGTAGAAGTGGTCTCTTGTATCCAGTTAATCTTCTATCTGTCTTTGTTCCTGACATAAACTTGCCCTTCCTTATCCTTGGGGACAGTGGGTTCTGTAATCCCAGTAGGAGGTGGTGGTACAAGAACAACTGATTCCACCATAGGAATCACAAGAATCAGTTCACACTAAGGCTCCCCCTGAAGGGAGGACTGTAACACCGGAGAGGACAAGAAATAGGATTGGGACTCAAAGAATATGATATCCATGGACACAAACCACTTACGAGACGGAGGGTGGTAACACTTATACCCCTTTTGAGTAGGAGAGTACCCTAGAAAAACACATTTGAGGGAGCGAGGGTCCAACTTTCCACAAGTAAGAGAGTGATTGTGGACAAAACAAACACAGCCAAATATTTTTGGCGGAATAGAAAACAAGGACTTGGAACCTAGGAGGACTTGAAGGGGAGCTTGTTTTTGCAAGACTTGGGTAGGAAGATGATTAATAAGATAGGCAGCGGTGAGAACAACGTCGCCCCAGTAGAACCGAGGTACACTCATAGAAAAACACATGCACCGAGCCATATCAAGAAGATGACGATTCTTGCGTTCTGCTACCCCATTTTGTTGACAGGTATTGGTGCAAGAGGTCTGATGGATAATGCCATGAGCAGAAAAATATTGTCCTAACCCAGAATCTATATATTTCCCCCATTATCAGAATGGAAGACTGTGACAGTGGCCCCAAGTTGAGTACAAATCATCTTATGAAAATTGTGAAACACAGAGAAAACCTCACTCGTCTTTTATGAGATACGCCCAAGTAGTACGAGAAAAATCATCAATAAATGAAACAAATCATCAATGACCTTTCACAGACATAACACGAGATGGATTCTAGACATCAGAATGTATTAATGAAAAAGGAACTAAACTTTTATTAAAACTGGGAGCAAAAGAAGCTCTGTGTTGTTTTTCAAGTTGACACGACTCACAAAGAAACTTAGACACATTATTGTTTGCAAAGCCAGATGAAAATAAATGTTTAAGTAAATAAAAAGAAGGATGCCCAAGACACCGATGTTACAACCATAAATCATCTTGGGTAGTAGGACTCGTGGTGGAAGAATGAGCAAGCTTGTCAAGTTGATCCAGAAAGTAGAGACCATTTTCTGCACTACCACTGCCAATCGTCCTCCTCGTGACAAGATCCTGAAAAAGACAATGATCAGGGAAAACTGTCACTACAATTCAAATCCTGGGTAATACAACTCAAGGATAACAGGTTAACAGAAAAATTAGGAACATGGAGAACAGAATATAGAGGGATGGTAGGAGTGACATGGACTAAACCTTTCCTAGAAATGGAAGAAACAGTACCATCTGCAATCCTAACTTTGTCCTGACCTGAAGAAGGCTTATAGGCAGAGAAAAGATCAGAGGATCCAGACATATGATCTCAGACACCAGAATCAATAATCCAAGGCAAAAACTTATGAGACAGAAAAACACAAGGAGAAGAGGCTAAGTTACCTGAGCGGGCAAACGACGATAAAGATGTACTGAGAGCAGTAGAAGACCAGCGATCCAGCAAGTGACGCAGAACATCCTCAAGCTCAGGAGTAGTCATGCCAAAGAGATTATCAGAAGGCTGGCCAACAGAAGCAGAAGTAGAATCAAGTGTATCAACAGTATTAGACTGATGAGCCCGTGGATGAGAACCTCGTCCCCTAGACTGGCCTGACCGACCTCCTCTAAAACCAGACCGATCACCTCGACCCCCAGATGGAGTCCCATGAAGCTTCCAATATGTCTCACGAGTATGCCGCGGTTTTTTCCAGTAATCACAGAATATAGATTCCTTGGCGGTGGACGGAGGGATAGGAGTCAAGCTAGGGCCATCTCTAGGAGTAGACAGTAATGCGGAGCGGTTAGTAGAGACAGGGGACACCATAGCAGACCGGCGACTCTCCTTATTCTGTACATAGGCAAATGCCTCCTGAAGTAAAGGAAGAGTGTCCATACTCAGAACCTGACTCCGAACCAAATCATATTCCACATTGAGCCTTGCCAAAAACTTAAAGACTCTTTCTTGTGCAATAAACTTCCTGTATCCGACTGAATCAGTAGTGCAAACAGGCTTATAATCCTGCAAGTGATCAAGGCGTTTCCAACCGTTGGTGAGGAAGATGAAGTACTGAAGAATCGACTGCTCCCCCTGAACAGAGCTCTCAATAGAGCGGCGTAACTCAAATGCCTGGGAGAAATTCCCTTTGCGGGAATAGGTAGCGGCCACAGCATCCTAAACATCCTGAGCAGTCTCCATAAACAAGTAGCCCTCGCCAATGTCTGGTACCATCGAATGAAAAACCAACACATAATCAAAGGGTTGGTAATCTCCTATTGGTCATAACCCGGGTCAGTGGTGCTGGGTTCCTGTATCCTGCCATCAACATACCCTATCTTCCCTCTGCTCTTTAAAAACATAGTCAAACTCTGCGACCACGCTAGATAGTTCTGACCATTGAATGGAGAGGTGGTGATTTTAATACTAGGGTTAGAGTTATTAGTCATAGTAGTAGGTATAATGGAAATCTCACTCTTAGGTGTCGACACACTGGTAGAATCTACCATAGATACTGTACTACTGAACCCTCAACAAGACTAGTGCCAATCACAAACCAGGAAGGGGGTGGTGGAAGAGAAAAAATAAACGACCACTATGACAATATAAAGAATTAACAACCCATAATTTTTCTTTTTTTTTTTCTTCTTTCTTTTCTTCTTTTTTTTTTTTTTTTTTTTTAAGAGTTCTGGATCTGTTTCAAGAGCAAATAAATACACTAGTTCTTTTCCAAGAGCAAATAGATACACTTACAAAATGAATACTCTCAGAGGCGAAGTGACGAGAGACAACTGATGGTGATCAAGAGATGACTGCATCGGGGAAGTCAACTGAGGCAGAGGGACTACCAAGGGCAGTCGGCGGAGCAAACGATACCAGCAAACGACCAATCCAAGTAAGTTTCGAACCCTAGGGGCTTTCGGTGCTAACTTCGACCAATAAGGGTGAGTCAAAACCCTAAGGTTTTAAAAAGCGGTCGCAATCGTTACGTAACGCCGTTACGTAACGGTTTTGGCGGTTACCGTCACCCGTTACGGTCACTTTTGCAGTGTGATTGAGATTCACAGGTGTGTCGGCCGTAGCGGTCGTAACGGTGCCGTAACAGCCGTAACGGCCTGTTACGCACCGTTACGTAACGGTTCCAAACTGTTTCTTTCGAAAAAAACATACAAAAAAAAGCTGAAAATGGGGGAAGAGGGATAGAGAGAAGAGGGAAGATAAAGAGAGAAAATAGAGAAGCAAGAGATAGAGAAAGAGAGAGAGAGAGAGAGAGAGAAGAGGGAAGATGAAGAACATATTATTGATTTGTTGAAACTATAAGACCTATGCTATTCTATTCAGCTGCTATTTCTAAATCATTTTGTTTGTGTGTCTATCTATATATTGTTTGAAAATAATAATAATAATAAGTGGTCATTATCTATTTGGCTTGGTTAAAATATGTATGTATATATGTATATATATTTAGGCTCTTATTTATTCTCTTACTTTTGTCATTATTTATCTTATATATAATAGTTAGTGATTGATTTTTTGTAAAATATAAAGTCATTAATTATTAAAATAAAATGTAAAAAACTCAGTTTATAATGATTTAAAAATATGAAATATATTGGATCATACTTAAAAATTTACAAAAATTGATCAATATTTATTTTTAACCCAATAAATATGATCATGGAAAAAAAATATGCGTATCGGTAAGTTTTTTTCAAATTGTGCGAAAAATTAAAAAATTCACGGTTCCGGTTACCGCAATCGTTACACTACGGCCTTTACACTCCGCAACCGCAATCGCAACCACGTCACCGCAACCGTTTTTCAGAATCTTGCCCTAGATAGTCATCAACCCACCCCAAAAAAAAACACTTGGGTCCTTCTCGGCTTGAGCCGAAGCCCCTCAGGGTGGAGTCGGCTTGAGCCGACAGAGAGAGAACCTGTCTCTGAAGGTGGCTGGTGACTCCTAGTGGTGGGTGGTGGCTCTGGTGGATAATAGGAACAGTATGGGTAGATGGGTTTAGGTTTTAGGGTTAGGCTTTGATACCATGATAAATTTAGAGAATACCAGATTAGGAAATGATTAGGATATCATCCCCTATTTATATTAATAAAGATCAATAATTACAAAGGAGTCCTAAGGCATAGAATAATTACAAAATAAGAACCCAAATAATAATATATTATTCTAACACTTGTAACTCTTTTTTTGGTTGCAGAATAATCCAGAAAAACACACTTAATAGACCTAGGATCCAATTTACCACAAGTGGGTGAATGATTATGGACAAAGCAAACACAGCCAAAGTTCTTAAGAGAAATGGAGAATCCAGAAGAGGTAGACCCGATCAAAACTTGAAGAGGTGTTTGTTTTTGAAGGACTTGGGCAGGAAGACGATTAATCAAATAAGCGTCATTAAGAATCGCTTTCCCTTAATAGGATCGAGGAACTCGTATCTTAAAAGATAGACAACGGGCCATATCAAGGAGATGACGATTTTTGCGTTCTGCAACACCATTTTGTTGAGTGGTATTAGTGCATGAAGTTTGGTGAATAATGCCATGAGTGGCGAAATAACGAGCAAGACCAGAGTCAATATATCCCCTTCCCCATTATCAGAGCGTACAATTTTGACAACCGTCCCAAACTAAGTACAAACCATTTTATGGAAGTTTTGAAATACAAAAAATACCTTATTTTTATCTTTCATCAAATATACCCAGGTGGCCCTGGAATAGTCATCTATGAAAATAACAAATCATTTTTGACTTGTTAAAGACACAAAACGGGATGGACCCCATACATCAGAATGAATTAAAGAAAATGGAATTGAACTTTTATTAATAGAATGAGCAAAAGAGGCTCTGTGTTGTTTTCCAAGTTGACAAGACTCACATTAAAAATCTGGCACATTATTTTTCTTAAAAAACAGAAGGAAATAAATGCTTAAGTAATAAAACAGAGGGATGTCCTAAGCGACCGTGCCACAACCAAATGTCTTCCGTAGTAGATGGTAACTGAATAGATGAATGGACCATCTTGTCCGTCTGATCCAGAATGTAGAGACCATGTTCCTCTCTACCATTGTCAATCCTCTTCCTCGTGATAAGGTCCTAAAAAAGACAATGATCAGGAAAAAAAACGCCACGCTACAATTTAAATCATCAGTAATACGACTCAAAGATAAAAGATTAACACTAAAATTGAGAACATGAAGTATAGAGAACAAAGAAAGGGAAGATGTGGCATGAATTAAACATTTTCCTGACACAGATGAAATAGTTCCATCAGCAATAGGCACTTTTTTCTGACCTGAGAAGGGATTGTACTCTGAGAATAAATTAGAAGAGTCAGACATATGGTCGAAAGCACCAGAATCAATAACCCATGGTACAGTCGTATGAGGTAGCAATGCACATAGGAAAGAAGTCAAGTTACCTGAATTGGCAAATGAAGAAGAGGGTGCACCTGTAGCAGAAGTGGAGGCTCAACGGTCTAGGAAGTGGCGAAGAGCAATCTCAAAATCCGAGGTAGATAACCCCAAAACATCAGCAGCAGGGGAGACAACTGGAGATGAAGATGGTGACTCAACCGTGTTTGAAAGATGTTCCCGAGCATTGGCCCCTTGGCCTCTAGACGGACCAGACCTACCCCCTCAAGTACCAGGACGGTCTCCTCAGCCACTAGAAGGAGTCCCATGCAGCTTCCAACAAGTCTCTCATATGTGTTGAGGTCTACGGCAGTAGTCACAGAAAAGATTATCCTTCTCAGAGAAAGGATGAGAATCACGAGTCACACGTTCGCCATCGCGAGGGGGTGCAAAAACTAAGGCCGAGCGATCAATAGTAGCAGAAGGAAACATCGCAAAACGGCGACTCTCGTCATTCTGCACAAAAGCAAAGGCTTCCTGGAGAGAAGGAAGCACATCCATGCCAAGTACTCTGCTCCGAACCAGATCATACTCCACATTTAGGCCTTCCAAGAACTTGAAGACCTGCTCTTGTGCCATAAACTTTCGATAACCAGCAAAATTAGTGGGATAAACAGGCTTGTAATCTTGAAGGTGATTAAGCTGCTTCTACCTATTGCTAAGGAAAGTAAAATACTGGAGGATAGTCATCTCACCTTGTACCGACTTTTCAATGGAGCGACGTAACTCGAAATCCTGTGAGAAATTTCCCTTCCTGGAGTAAGTAGTAGCTACAGCCTCCCAAATATCCTAGGCAGTGTCCATAGACAAGTAGCCCTCTCCAATCTCAGGTACCATAGAATGGATCAACCAACCCATGATTAGAGAGTTGGTGATCTCTCACTGGTCATAACTAGGATCCATGGTACTGGGTGCCTGTATCCTTCCATCAACAGTAAGTAGTAGCTACAGTGTCACGCCCAACCTTGCCCCTAAAAGTTTGGGCATGACCACCTCAAAAAAATGGACATAGAACCTGATAAATATAACTTATGGGGCCTGAACGGAAGCACCTGATAAACAAAAATCTATTCCATTGAGCTACCACTATCATGCCAGGATCACAACATCATAAAAGTGAATAATATACAGAAAACATACATACACATACATTGACTCCGCCCATAATTGGGCATATAACAAAGCATATTAATGAAAGACAACCGAAGCATAACCCCAAAAACTCAATAACAAATACATGGGCCTCGGTTAGTGCCGGGACACATCGAGGTTGACAAGAAAGAGACGAGCGTTAAGGGTTAGGACTGGCTTCCCAGTTGACCACCTACAGAAACAGACAAAATACAGAATGAGTGAAACTCAATGAATAATAGTACATAAATAATGTAAAGTGTAACCTGAATAGTAAGGCATAAGACTGCAGAGACATATGATTAACTTCATTCCATAATCACTTCAAAACAGCCATGAATTCAGTTTTCTTAACAGAGTAGTTTTAAACCCAGTATGTACAAAACTTCCATAGGTCTGCAGATACGAAATGGCCATAGACCCAGAAATGCATATATATATATATAACAGAACAGCCTTAAGTTCAATCTTGCAACATAAACATGGTGGCTACAAACTCTTGAAACTTGTGGCACTAAGGCCCTTGAAACATATGGCTATAAGCCCTTGTAAAGTTGGCATGAAGCCCTTGAAAGATTGGCATTAAGCCCTTGAAAGATTGGCATGAAAGCCCTTAAAACAAAGAACTTGTAACATACACAACTTGTAACAACATAAACTTGTAACATACATCAACTTGTAACATACATCAACTTGTAGCAACATAAACTCGTAACATATATAAACTTGTGACAGACTTAAACTTGTAACATATACTTGAAACATACCTGAACATACTTGAACTTGTAACATACTGGAAACATGCCTGAAACATACTTGAACATCATTCATTAATTCAAACGGAACATATCATAACTAGAGCATTTCTTGTTGTGTCGTGTCATTATCGTACGCTTAACAATGAGAGGCTAATTCATATTCTCATGAGGGTCACATAATGATGCTAAACCTTGCACTTATATCGTAGATTCTGGATCACTTCCAATTCATAAGCAACATGACAAATTAACTTCAATTCATCTGGATACATGTAGCTACTCTTATATTTACTCAGAATCCATTCTTCAAGAATGAACATAAATTCTTTTGGGTAAATGACTTATTTTACGTACTCTCTTATCAATAGCATACACCTTTGTTTAATCATTCTTATATGTTAACATAGTTGCCTTGCCTTGTAATTAACATAGTCTTAATGGTAACTGTTACATCATTCCCATGAGTTGACATAATTAACGTAAGGTTAACAGAACATCCCTGATAATTAGTAACGAAAAGTAAGTACATTTTCGTTAGATTATAGATGACTTTGTTGGTTTCACAATTTCACAGTTCGGCCCTTGGCCTGAGGGGTTCACACATTCACAAGTTCCTTTGATGTTTTCCTAATTCCATAATGTTTCTTACATAACATACATAACTTCATAAACTCTTTTGATGTTTCCATAATATCACAGTATTTCTCACATGGCATTTATAACATTTATGTCAACATAATTCTTACGACGAAGATTTAACATCAATAACGATAAATAGTTAAAGGTACATCAAAGTACTATTACTCACAGTATTCAGGTGCGTGGTCCACCCTTGAAGCTAACCCTACACAAATCACGTAACCCAAACATAATCCATCATAGTACAACATCATTTAGTTCATTCGCAAATTTTAAACATAATTTCCAAACATTTCCAAATTCCAATTAAACTTGAACACATCTAATTCAATATCTCAATTTCATTACTCTACTTTCAATTTGGACCAATTCATTGGTTTTCATCATTAATCAACCTAGGGTTTCAAGGAAAATGATGATTTTTAGCAAAAATTCAAACTTCTTAAATCACCACTTTTAATTCCAATTTTCCCAATAATTCTACACCTAGGATTCACAATCCATCATTTAAACCCAACAATTAACTCCCAACATCACAAACCATAAAACCCCAAATCTCAAGTTGACACAAAATGCTCAAAACCGTAGATTTTGTATTTATATACTCAAAACACCACAAATCCATCCATGAATACAAGTATTGTAAGAGAACAAGGACCCCTACCTCAAGAACCAAGCAAGGAGCAAAGCTTTGAGAGTAATCCACCAAAATCTCGAAATTCCAATCGGTTGAAAATGTTCATCTTCTTGCCTTCTTCACTTCTTGGTGGAAGATCTTGCTCAAACCTAAGGGAAATGGAGTTATTTGGGGATCAAAACCCTAGGGTTTTCGGACTTAGGGCAAGAGGGATCAAGAGAGGAAAGGAAAACATACGAAATGATCTCAAAATCCCGATTTTAAGCTGCTGTACCCGCTATTTCCGCTCGAGCGGACCTGCTCCCAGCACAGATTCTGAAACTTCAAACATGCGTAACTCTCCCATCCGGACTCCGTTTTAGGTCGTTCTTGTGTCTAAATTGAAGCCCCGGAAATAAGCTTTCCAATGGTTCTAACCTCACATCTAAATTCAAAGTGTGGAAAAATAAAAGGGCAAATGAGTGAAGGTTGGTCGTAAACGAATTATTCAAATTAAGGTTTTTGGTCCAATCTTACTTTACCATCATATTATCATCTCAATCAATATCCCAAAATAAGGTAAAAACATTCCAAATACACGAAGAAGAACATCAAAATGAGCCCACATGCCTCAGAAGCAAACTTAACCAGACGACCCGCTCGAGCGCCCAACCTTGCGCTCGAGCGTGCAAACCAACAAGGCAATCCGCTCGAACGTCTACTCCCCCGCTCGAGCGGGAAATCACAACTCCCAGAATCTCAGGCCGTCTGCACAATTACTGGAAACCCCAAAAGTCCGCTCGAGCGTTAACTCTTCCGCTCGAGCGGAGGGAAAAATTCTGGGTCGTCACATACAGCCTCCCAAATATCCTAGGCAGTGTCCATAGACAAGTAGCCCTCTCCAATCTCAGGTACCATAGAATGGATCAACCAACCCATGATTAGAGAGTCCGTGATCTCCCACTGGTCATAATTAGGATCCATGGTACTGGGTGCCTGTATCTTTCCATCAACATACCCCATTTTCCCTCTGCTTTTCAAAAAAATAGTCAGACTTTACGGTCAGGCTAGATAATTTTGACCATTGAATAGAGAGGTGGTGGTCTTAAGGCCAGGGTTGAGGTTATCAGTTATAGTAGGAAGTATAATGGAACTCTCGCTCTTAGGTGGCTGAGAAGTAATGGATTCACTAAGGGAATCTGTCATGGATACTCTACTATTTCACTCTCAAACACAATGTCAATCACAAACCTGAAAGATAATATTGGATGGAAAAACACCACTACTCCTATGAAAGCATAAAGAATTAAGAAACTCCTTTTTTTTTGTTATACTGCATTTTTTTTTTTTTGGTTTTATGTACTTTTTTTTTATTATTTTTTTTAATTTTTTCAGAAGAGAAGAAAGAGAGAAGAAAACAAGAGCTTAGGCCATTCGTGAGGCACTAGTCGACCAAACAGAGAACAACGAAGTCAGTGGACAACTAACCAAGGGACAACGAGGGCACCCGTCGACCAACCAAGAGTTGCCGACAGACAAGGCCTCCAAGTGTGCCAATAGACCTAGACTAATAGAGGCTAGAGTTGCTGACAAGCCTAGAGGAAGACAGAGGAAGCTTCGGCTGCCTTGGTCGAGAGCCGACTGACCTTCGGCTTAACTGGGTAAGGGCCAAATGGCCAAGAACTTCCTTTGGTTGGCCTGGGTAGGGGTCGACTGTCCCAGGTAAGGGTCTAGGTGGCCTGGGCAGTCCTTCGGTGGAAGAAAGGTGGCTGTGATTGGTGTTAGGTTCCTCCTATTGAGGCTTTGATACCATGTGGGTTTAGAGAAGAGAAAGAGTTACGGAATGAGTTAAATCTCATCCCCTTTTATATTGATAATAATGAGTAATTATAGGAGTGTCATAATGCATAAATTATGGACTAGCTCATTACATCAATCAAGGGAAAATAAAATCAAATAAGAATAAAATATATAAATATTATTTCCTATTCTAATATAAGTATGTAGACCTAGTCAGGTGTACCCTTAAAAATAAAAATGTGTTTAAGAAACAAGAAATCTAGCCTTGTCCTGGTGTCCTTGACATGAGAATTACATGAATCCAACATGTAGAAACATACTTGCACCCGACATTCAATAAGTATGTATAACTAGGGGGTGACCATTGGTTCAATGGTAAAACATTGGCCTAATAACCTTGAGGCTATGGGTTCAAGTCACGGAGCAAACACTTTGTGCACTATACCAAAGGTTAGGTGTGTACCCAATCTTTCTCCTCCTAAACACACATTTGTATACTAATTGGGCGTTATTTTTCTTTTAACTAGTCAAGCTTACCCTTAAAAATAAAGTTGTATTTAAGAAATATGAAATCTAGCCGTGTCCTGGTGTCCTTGACATGAGAAGTACATGAATATGACATTTAGACACATATTTGCACCCGACACCTCTATTTGAGTCCATGTAACATAGCAACCCAGAAACACACACACACAGAGCATACCTATTAAGTCGTTCATTTTGTATTTTGAGTGTATCACAAAAATAAATGATTCGAAGGGTGACATGCTGAACATAGCATCTTCAATAATGATTTCATGTTTTCGTTTCCTTTTGTATTTGTCATATTTTCACATGTTTTAACTGATGAAGAAACTAATAATATATTGCTGATGCTTGTTTTCTGCTGCTGATTGTTTACCAAGAACCAATTGAATTTTTTTATGATCAATGGCAAGTATGTTATCCAGAAGCACTCAATTCCATGCAGGGAATTACAGGATAACAATCTATCAGGTGCGTTACCTGATTATCTTGGCAGTATGGAGCACCTACAATACCTGAATCTTTCACACAATAATTTTAATGGTTCCATACCAACTTCTTGGGGCGAACTCTCCAGCCTAAAGAATCTGTAAGCCTACTTTCTCCTGTCCTTTTTGAGGGGTGAGGGGAGGGAGTGGAAGGGTGGTCTGCGTGAGATCTAAATAATATGAAACTCTTTGTATTTGTATTTTACGGTTGTCGTGGAGCTATAACCTCATCAATTCATCAGGGTGCTAAGCAGTAACCACTTAAGTGGGTCTGTTCCCGAGTCACTTGCAAATATTATAGGCTTAACAGAACTGTAAGCAATCACTATTCAACTTTCACATTGTCGTTAGTGTTGGTTGTATTTATCATCTTTCCCACCTGAAGGCCCTGACCACTGCCCTTCTTACTTATGATTGTGTTGCTCATGAATTATTTACTCATGATGTATATAGGAGCTCTGGTTTTTTTTTCCTTTTTATTCATTAATAAAATTCCTTTAATTACTGATAAAAAAAAATGAATTATTTTTGTTGACAGGGATCTTTCATCCAATATGGTAACTGGAAGAATCCCAACACAGTTGTTTTCCTTGCCAACATTCAAGTACATTCATTAAACATTAACTCTCTCTTTCAAGTCCTGAACCTTCTATAATCTACAATATTTTTAATCCTTTAGAAAATTTATCCTTTGATGTTTGATTTCTTTTGTAGTTGGATACTGAAATTACTCTCATGACCTATATATTTAATCTTGTGTCCTTGGTTTTTTAATTTGTAAAAAATGCAATGTATAAAAAGAAATAGAGAAATGTATTATTGATTGATGTATTGTGTTGTTGTGTATTACAAATGGTGAGTGGCTCATTATATAGGAGAGGGTGAGTGTAGTAGGTGAGGAGTAGGTGGTGGTAGGTGATGGTAAATTGGTGGTAGGTGATGGTAAATTCTAACATAATTTATAAATTGGACCATATTTTATTATCATAATGATTTTTGTAATTGTGTATAAGAATGATGTTTATCTAGTTTGTTGACTAATCTGTGGGGTTGCTACCTTGCCAAATGGCTTTGATGACTTTAAACCAGAGATGATCAGCAAAAACTGCATCTCTTATTCTGTTGTCCTTACTCAGCTTATGATTTTTATGCTCCAAACAATTTCCTATTCTCTGCTTGATCTAATTTGGAGGACAACAATAAGCAAATGTTTCAACCATTTGCACCTCCTTCATTGATGAATGTAGACTTTTTGTTTTTGGATAAGTTTGATGAATGTGGACAATAGATAGAACTGCAATTTTTCTTTTAATGTGTTTTTAGACTAAAGATTTAGATCACCATTTAGTCCCAAAAGCTCAAGCTATTAGGAAATGAGCTCAACATTGTATATTAGACTATCCAACACCCTCCCTCATCCGTTAAGGTCTTCAACTTTAATATTTTATTAAATAAAAATTGGCTCATCCCTCATTGTATCTTTGCTTATCACTAGCCTTTGTTTCTTTTTGACTGATTTGTCAACAGAAGGGTATGCTTATGCTCCTCTTGATACTTGTATTCCTTTTCCTTTAATAATACCCTCAATTACCAAAAAAAACCCTCCCTCACGTGCAACCCTATCTTTCATGTGAAGAGACTGACAAACAAACAACCAAACAAAGTTCAAACAAACAAATATAGACCAAATGCAAATAGACTTGAACTCAAGACCTTTTAGAACCAAAGCTCTAATACCATGTTGGATCACTACTAGTCCCAAAAGTTTAAGTTGTTGGAAAATGGGTTCAACAATGTATATCAAGCTATTCAACAGACTTACTAACTCAACTCCACAAAGTCTTATCCCAATATCCCAAATACTTGGGGTCAACCTTATGCATCCTATTTCACCCTTCCACTTGGTCAAGTGTCATAATCTCACTTAAGCTCTTGTATTCTCAACCCAAGTTAGTTTTGTTATTCTTTTGTCTCTCTGCATTGCCCTCAATGTGAATAGTGTCACTCTTCCTAACTGGGGCATAAATCCTATGTTCAAGTTGTTTATACAAGAGCTTAAAACTTCAATTTTCCATTTGTTATAGATAGTCATGTTAGAACCACTAGTCCCAAAAGAGTAAACTGTTAGGAAATGAGCCCTGTCAAAACTGACTCTCTCTATTAGAGATGATTTATATTCCAATTTAGATGATTTGCTAAGTTGTATGATTGGTTGTAATTAGGGAATTCGTTGTAGGATTTGTTGCATTGTATGATTGCTTGGGAATTAGTTGTACATGTCTTAATCTTTGAGATTTGGTAGCTTAAACATTCCTTGTATAGAATACTCAAGATCATAAGAAGAAGAGAGTCTTCCTTGTGGAGGCATTGAAAGTTTTCCCAGAAAATATTCTTGTTCTCATTGTTTTGTCAAGTCCAACAATGTATATCAAAATATCCAATGCCCTCCCTCATGTGCAATGTGTCTTGCACATGGAGATGCAAAGAGACGTACATAGAGAGAAGCAGAAAGCAAACGGGAAACAAATGCAAATAGAGAGAGTTGAACCTAGGACCTCCCCCCAACCCAAGCTCTGATATCATGTTAGATCACTACTAGTCCCTACTCCCCAAAGCTTAATTTATTAGGAATGAGCCCAACAATTTATATTAGGCAATCCAACAAGTCAAAGTTGTACCACGTGTTGTTTTCTCTTTTGAAGTGCTTACCTGCTTTGCTGTCATTACGATCTATTGGTTGAATTTGCCGTAAAGAGGCCTTCATTGTTCCTGGTTTTATTTTGAAGCTTAGTTTCCTCCATAATGAGACTTTTTCACTAGCCCAGAATTTATAAAAACCATTGGCCTACCTACCGAGCCCATGTTGTATGACGTACTGCTTGTGAAGTTTGGCAATTACAATTGATGATTTATTGTAGTGAGGCAATCTGTCCAACTTTTTCCAAAAATAAGGATCTCTTAATTGAAGGAAGGGTAGTTAGGCAGTTCACTGATTTGTAAACTCTATCTTATTGAACTTGGGAATTGGTGATACTATGGGCTTGAACTACATGATAATGCAAAGTATTTCTAAATCATAGATGTTCATGAAAAAGTAGAGCAGGAAATTTGCTACAGTTAATGCCAACTTTCATTTTGTCATTGCCATTATAGTAAGAACTGAGTCATAAGGAAAAGCAAAGGAACTATTGTATTGATCTAAAATTGCCATTAATTTTCGCTTATTAAATCGAAATTCAAATTTCATTACTTTTAGATGTAAGATGTTGCTCAGCATATTGCTTTTTTATATTATTTTTAATGTGAAGTTTTCGTGAATTTTATGAGCAAATGCATATATTTATTAGGAAACTCAAAATTATTACATTATTTATTTATTTATGTAGTTTCATCGTGTTACTCTGTCTCATACATCACATGCTTCAGTTATACAGGAACTCTTCTTTCTTGTGGGTCTAGCTTGCAGCAACCTTGTGTTTCGAGTTCCCCAGTTCCAGGTTACTCTTTTCACTGTTACATTCAGCAATTTCTATCAAGGAAAATATCTATACAAAACCTAAAATTCAGATATTGCAGCAGTTTCTTCCAGGAAATCAAGACTTGAAATCGTTATTTCCGGTGTGAGCTGTGGTGCATTCATTCTCCTGTCACTTGGGGCTATCTTTATGTACCGATACCATAAAATGCATAGACGCAGGCATGATCTATTTGTAGATGTTGCTGGTAAGCTCTCTTGTTCCTTTTTAGTTAAATTACCATAAATTAGTGATACTGAGATTTGCCCATTAAGTATTATATCAAAAAACTTTTTCGTTTCAACCTAGCTAATATTTCAGTAGAATCCTTCCACAAAATCGAGCATTAACTTTTCATTCTGTAGGTAGATACCATATGATCAACTGTTAAATTCCATTTTTATGGCGGAGCGAAGAACCAAATTAATTTGTAGCGTCTTTGCCTACTCCAGGGACTCTCTGGATGCAAATTTAAAAAAAATGTATATATATATATATTCTTGGAGCATCTAAATGGATTCATTTTGACTTTACCACTGGATCCTATTTGCAGCTTGATGTTCTTCTTCCACATGTACTCTGAGGTTGACACTTGAGCTTTTTGTCACTTTCAGGTGAAGATGAATGCAAATTTTCCTTTGGCCAACTAAGAAGATTTTCCTTGCGTGAAGTCCAACTTGCTACTGACAATTTCAGTGAGATCAACATAATTGGACAAGGAGGCTTTGGAAAAGTTTACAAAGGTGCTCTTTCAGACAACACAAGAGTTGCTGTGAAACGTCTCACAGATTATCACAGTCCTGGTGGTGAGGCTGCATTCTTAAGGGAAGTTCAATTGATAAGCGTTGCAGTTCACAAAAATCTTCTCCGTTTGATTGGGTTCTGCACAACCTCGTCTGAGAGAATTCTTGTTTATCCATTCATGCAAAATCTCAGTGTTGCATATCGTTTAAGAGGTATTTAACTTACAAGCACTACACTTCAACGCCATTTTTCATTAATATTGTATGTTAGTGAACTAGGTTAGCATGCCATTCAAATAAGGTTTTCCTATTGAGGTTGGTCCTTGCAGAAAGTTGAACAAATTAAATACTGGAAATTTTATATTTGGAGCACGAAGATTGGTTAAATTTCTTTGGGTAAAACATAATGATGACTTCGCAAATCAAATCACCTGTGAAAGAAGCTATTGATGGCTACTTGGAAGAACATATGGCTCTTTCATTTTCTCACTATAACTAATTGGACCCATAAACCTGTTCCTTTACGTACTTGCTCACCCCAATTTGGGTTAGCTGCCATAGCCTTTTTTTCTGGCTGTTCCTTTCTATCTACACTAAATCTTGAAACCATTGTTCTTGGTTTTCAGCATATTAGTTTATAAGTACATCTTATGTTAATCTCCATGATGCCTTCCATGTTCAAATTCATATAATGACAGTCCAGTCTTTTGATCCTTCAGTGATGCATGAATAAATTGTAAAATATGGAGAGCACAGTACAATGAAAGTTTTAAGCTGTGTTCTAGGAGGAGATATTGTCTATTGTATGAAATTTCAGCTAAAAAAATTGACATACCCGAAAAATTCAGCTAACTTTTTTTGGAAGGATGCATTAGAATTTTAAAATGGTAAAATATTTCTGAAAATTGTCATGTCTTCCTGAACAATACTAAGAAAATTTTGAAATTTATTGGGTCAAGTATTATTACATTTGACACATCTATCAAAAAGATTTCATACTTATTCACATTCTAAGTAATCATAAACAATATAAATATTGTCCTTCGCTCATTTATTCTAATTTGCTCTCTATCAAAACAGATTCTTCTGTTTCAATCTAAGTTTTTGGTATCTAAATTTACTTGGCCTATTTGTTGTTTTTAGCCATCTCTTCTCCATTCAGTAACATGCGGTCAAGGTTTTGAGTTTCGTGAAACTGGTATTCATGATTCTATATTGGTTTCAACAGTCATTTTGAGGATGTTAGTTCCCTTCTCAAAGTCCAAACTCTAGAAAAAAAGATTTCTTTGTTCTTTTTTTCTAGTGAAGTTTTAGGATTGTGATTGGGTGGTGATCCTAAACCCATTTCTATTATTGTATTTGGAAGATTTTAAGGTTGGATGATCCTATTGAAAATCTTAAAAGAGTGATCATAATGATTTTGGGTAACCCTAGTGAAAACCTCTTTTTTTGATTAGTGGATTAATTCCGGTAGGGAGGGCGACAGTGGATCTAGGCAAGTAGCCAAATCACTATAAAAATCTTCTCTGTTTGGTTGAGTTTTTAGAACTAGTGTTTCTGATTTTTATTTTTATTTTTGAAAATTTTAAAACTAGTTTGACAAAAATAAAACAGCAAAAAAATCAATTTTGAATTTTCAAAAATTATTTCTGCCCCCAAAAAGAGAAAACCATATAAAAATAATGTGTTTTTTTCTTAATTTTTTCCATCAAACCAGTTTTTGAAATTTTTTCAGAAAAAAGATTCTGAAAACTCAACCAAACAGAGTTTTCTCTTTATTTTTTAGCTTTGATTTGCTATATAATTCCACATGTTATTGAGATGAATATGATTCATGTTTGAGCTTGATTTGAATGTTAATAAATTTTAAAGGAATGATTCCCTAATCTTGCATGAAAAGTGAAATTATATGATTGAGTACAAATTTGATAATTGAGTATTCTCCCGTAAAAATAAAAATTCAATTAATGTGTACTTCGCACTTGACTTTTGTTGTGGTTACAAAATTAAACTAAGATAACTAATTGTTCTGGCCAACTAAATACTTAAATTTTAAGGAAATCAAAATTATCAAGGTTGACTTAAGTATATGTATAGTTTTGATAAAGGGCCGAGGTAAGATAATTGAGGTGAATCGGAGGAAAAGGATGGAATAGACTCATAAAAATAAATGAGGCAAATTTTCATGAGTGGATTTTGCAATGCCTTTAGGACTCTTTCAATCATAGCTCTGTGTGATGTTTAAATTTTGTCCGGCCGACTTACTTATCAGGTTCTATATCCATGAACTGCTGTTATGACATTTATATTTATTTATTTAGTTTCTATTGTTCTCCAAATGATATATTCTTGAAGCAGTCAGTGAAATTGCTCTCTTTATCATATTAATAATTATAGGGATCACATGAATTTGAGTAGTAATACTTCACTAATTCTTAATTTTTTTTCCCTCAACAATGCCATAGATTTAAAACCTGGAGAAAAGGGCCTGGATTGGCCAACAAGAAAGCGTGTGGCTTTTGGAGCAGCCCAAGGCTTGGAATACCTACATGAGCATTGCAATCCTAAGATTGTACATCGTGATTTGAAGGCTGCGAATATCCTTCTGGATGATGACTTTGAAGCTGTTCTTGGAGATTTTGGGTTAGCAAAACTAGTTGATACAAAGTTGACTCATGTTACAACTCAGGTGCGTGGAACTATGGGTCACATTGCCCCAGAATATTTGTCTACTGGAAAATCATCAGAAAAGACAGATGTGTTTGGATATGGTATAACTCTTCTAGAACTTGTAACTGGTCAGCGTGCAATAGATTTCTCTCGGCTTGAGGAAGAAGAGGATGTTCTACTGCTTGATCATGTAAGTTCTCATTCACCCATTCTGGTGCTATTTACTGACTCATTTATGTTCTATGCTACTTATTTGTTTATTTGTTTCACCTTTTTCTTTCTTTCTTTCTTTTTCCTCTCCCCTCTTTGTTGTGGGTTGAAGAAAAAAATGTTCCTCACTATTCTGTTTGATGAAATGTATGTATCGGCAGCATTTTTGACTAGAAGCATTTCTTCTTTGTTTCATTTCCTTTTATTTTTGGTTCAATAATTTTCTTGACATATATTGACTTACAAGATTGAAAATTTATGTGCTCTAGGTATAGTTTTCGGTTTGCTAGTTAAAATACATAGCATATGTTTGCTCCCTGTTCTTGGATGGTTGGGGCATGTAGTCATTTAATGAAGGAGACTGCTCATGAAAATGACATTTCCTCCTTAAATTTAAACTTATACTGATGTAAATAGTATAAGATTATTGTATTCTTCTCATTACTCAAGGGAGGTCAAAAGAGAAACTACTGGTCAGTGGTTTCCTAATCTTGAGATTGTGGGTTCGAACCTGAAGACCCCCCGTCAAATGGGGGACTAAATTGGATGTAGCCTAATTTTTTACTCAAGGGCGGTCAGTGTAATTTACACTATATTCTTTTGGACAATTGTGAATTTGCTTTAAAATAGGTTCCTACTAAAATCTATGAAGCACGGACGCCTCTCCCGGGACTGCATATCAGTGTCGGACACGGACACGCGTCAGATACGTTGTGGACACATGTCTGACGCTCTCATGAAGGTGTCCCATTTTTTTTTTTTTAATTTTTTTGCAACCGGACACGTTCGGACACTACGGGGTACAAAACATAATTTTGAAACTTGTAAGTGGGGGGGTCAAATTGTAAAAAACAAAAATTGTGATCCTAATCGAAGAGAGGAGACGAGAGAAAGGGCTGTTCGCTGTTGCCTAGGAAGCACGAATACGGCGATACGGATACGATAATATGTCAAAATTTAAAAATGTAGAATACGGGTATAGCGGGAATACGTTTGTAAAAAAAAAATTTATAATTTTAATAATGTAATATGCATGAAAATAAAACCTAAAACAAATTAATAAATAAAGAGAGGGATTCCTATTAAATAAAGAAATACTAACATTAAAGTTCCTAAAATTAAAAATTGGTAACGAAATACTTACATTAAAACAATGTAGGGGAAAAAAAAAAGGTGGAAAAAAATTAAATAAAGTAGCCTAATAGATAAGGGAAAAAGAAAGAAGAAGAAGAAGAAGAAGAAGAAGAATGAGAGCAAAAAGTATTGACTATTAACAAAATACAAATATAAAATAATAAAAAAATTGAAAAAAATTATATACTTATTTGAAGTATTAAAATATAAAAATAAAAAATTAGAAAAAAAATTGGATACTTATTTGGTGTACCTTACGTATCCTGTTGTATTCTTCAAGTATCCAAAATTAAAATAAAAGTAATTTTTTTAAAAAAAAACATATACTTATTTGCCGTATTTGTTACGTATCTCGCCGTATCAGACACGTATCCGTATCTGATACTCGTACGGCTCCTTTTTTGGAGTATCCGTGCTTCATAGGCTACTGTTGCTTGTTCGCTGCTACCGAAGGTATGTCTTCTTCTTCTTCAATTATATTCTTCTCTTTTCTTCCTTCGATTCTCTTCTTCTTCTTCTTTTCTCGTTCGATCTTCTTTTTCTTGTTCGATCGCTCTCTGGTTTTTGATCAATCTCTCTCTTTCTTCGACTTTTTTTTTTTTCTTCGAATGTAACCTCTCTCTTTCAAATGTAACCTCTCTCTCTCTCTCTCTCTCTTTGATTATATATATATATATGTTTTGCTGAATGTAAGTAACCCTTCTCTCTCTCTCTGATCATTTTTTTTTCTTTTGTTTTTTTGTGTAATTAGTTTTATTTCATAGAATAAATTAGTTTTATTTGAAGAAAAAAATCAAATTATTGACATTGCTGAAATTGTTAATTTTTTTGATATATGTTTATTAATTTTATTATAGGAACCAATTTTTCATTACCTTTCAATGATTTTTTTTATTATAATTTTATGACATATAATAAAATAATAATTATATATATTGAGTGTGTCCTCAGCGTGTCGTGCCCTCTCATTTTTTGAAAATTGGCGTGTCCGCGTGTCCGTGTCTGTGTCGGTTCTGGTAAATATGTAGTGGAACGCACGACGACTATCTTTGTCAAATGAGGATCATTTTGCACTAGTATGACTTTTGAATTGTCCAAATGTTGATGGAGAAAGAGTTCTATAGGAGTATGTTGTAAGATTTTTGTATATTCAACTTATGTAATACAAAGATTACAACTAATATTTATTACCTAATCTACAATGGGAAATACCTTATAGAATCAATCGAATATGCACAATCAACCAATCAACCTACAACCTACCTAATTGATACATAATACCATAATATTCTCACCCCCTTACTCAAACTAAAGGTGTTTTAGCAGAAAAAACGGAAAGTTTGCTAAGAAGAAACTGAAATCAAGCAGTTGTGTGAGTCTTCGTAAAAAAATCAACAAGTTGCAATGCCGAAGAGATGAAAGGAAGCGAGATGGAGTCAGACTGCAGATGCTGACGGACAAAATGACAATCAATCTTCATATGTTTCATCCGCTCATGAAAGACAATGTTATGGGCAATCTAAATAGCACTGCGATTGTCATAGTAAAGGGAGGTCGGAGAAGACTGAGGGACACCTAAATCAGTCAAGAGACAACAAAGCCAAACAATCTCAGCAGTGGCATGAGTCATAGCACGGTACTCAGCCTCGGCAATGGAACGCGCAATAACAATCTGTTTCTTGCTCTTCCAAGAAATCAAGGAATCACCGAGAAACATGCAAAAGCCAAAAGTGGACTTGCGATCAGTGACATCACCAACTCAATCAGAATTAGCATAAGCTACTAAGTCTAAAGAGGAAGTAGAAGGCAGCAGTAACCCCTGAAAGATAGTACCAAGGATATAGTGAAGAATCTGAACCAAAGAAGCCCAATTTGTAGAACGAGGAACAGAAACGAACTGACTAATCACATGAACAGCATAGGCAAGATCAGGGCGAGTAACCGTCAGATAGACTAAGCAACCCACGAGCTCTCGATATAAAATAAGATCATCTAGAAGAACACCATCAGTAGAGGTGAGCTTCACATTAAGCTCAGTAGGGGTGAGCTTCACATTAAGCTCAATAGGGGTATCAAAAATCTTAGGGTCATCAAAAATCCTAGGGTCAGTAAGACCAGCACAATGAATAACCTCATTGGCATACTTAGCCTGAGAAAGAAAGTAGCCATTGGGAGAAGAAACTACCTCAATATCAAGAAAATACCGCAACGGACCTAGATCCTGCATTTCAAAAGTGCGGAAAAGATGTTGCTTGACCTCAGAGATAGCGAAAGAGTCAGAGCCAGTGATGATCATATCATCCACATATAGTAATAAGGCAACAAAGCCAGCAGAGGTGTGAAGAAGAAATAAAGCAGAGTCCTGAGCACAAGGATGAAACCCAAGTGCAGTAACAACAGTCTGAAAATGGTCATACCAAGCATGAGGAGACTGCTTCAGACCATATAGAGCACGTCAAAAGTGACAAACCTGTCCAGAGGAATGGTGAAAGCCAAGGAGAGGACGCATATAAACCTCCTCAGTGAGATGGCTATTAAGAAAAGCATTCTTAACATCCATCTCATAAAGAGGCCAAGAACGAACAGCAACGACAGAGATCAAAGTACGGACAGTAGTCATCTTGACAACAGGAGCAAAGGTCGCCTTATAATCAATACCATATTCCTGTGAAAAACCTTTGGCAACCAGACGAGTTTTGTATTGCTCAAGAGAACCATCAGAATAAGTCTTGACTTTGTAGACCCATTTGTAACTAATCAGATTCTTACCAACAGGCAAAGGAACCAATTCCCAAGTACTAGTTTTTTTTGTAAAGCAGACAACTCATCCTCCATAGCTTGAATCCAATGGGATCCTGACAGGCCTCCTTGTAAGACTGAGGCTCTGAAAAAGAATGAATAGCAGACAAAAAAATTGCGATAGGAAGAAGAAAAATATGTATTAGACCAACCCAACCTGTTTGGAGGATAACGCACTCGAGTAGGATAACGGTGTATAGCAGGATAAGAGTTGTCAGAAGCAAGAGGATCAACAGTAGAAACAGAGAGAACTGGTGGAAGGAGAGCCTGGCGACGTGAATAAACTAACAACGGAGGAGAAGAAGGAGCAGGCTGGAGAGATGGAAGAGAAAATAGAGTAAGGTCACAGGGAACAGTAGAGATGTACTCATCAGGAGGGACCTTAGAAGGAAATGGATCAATGTGAATCAAATCCTCGTTGGAAACTGGAGCAGTGGTAGGAGGAAACTAAAAGTAAGGCAGACGTTCGAGAAAAAAAACATTACGGGACGTAAAGACGACAGGAAATAGGGTCATAACACTGATAGCCTTTCTGAGTAAGATTATAACCCAAAAAAACACATAGGATATACCGGGCACTAAGTTTGGTCCGATCTTTACAGGGAAGAAGGACAAAACAAGCAGACCTAAACACACGAAGGAGGGAGTAATTGGGAAGTTGAAAGAATAGAGCCTCATAAAGAAATCGACCAGAAAGAAGGGGAGTAGAGTAGGCATACGGTTAAGAAGAAAAGCACCAGTAAGAACTGCTTTGTCCCAAAACGAAGCTGAAACTGAGGCAGAGAGAAAAAGAGACCTAGCTATCTCAAGGAGATGACGGTGTTTTCGCTCGGTTCGACCATTTTGGGCAGGTGTATCAGTACAAGAAGTTTGGTGAATGGTACCCAAATTGGCCAAATACTCACAGAACTCCGTTTTAAAATCTTTCCCACCCAAGTCAGATCGTAACAATTTAATGATAGCCCCAAACTGTGTAGTGATCATAGACTAAAATATCCAATATATTTGGTAAAAGTCAGATTTATGAGTCATAAGATAAACCCCACTGTAATGGGTGCAATTATCAACAAAAGACACATAGTATGTGGAACCCTTTTTAGTGAGAACAGGAGAGGGTCCCCAGACATCAGTATACATAAGAGAAAAAGGAGAAACAGAAACTTAAGTATTTTTATTGAAAGGTAAAGTTGACAATTTGGCAAGTTTACACCCCCAACATTCATCAATTTGACTAGGAGAAATTTTACCCAATAATCCTGACTGAGCTAAAGACCGTAAGCGGTCAACAGACAAATGACCTAGGCGAGAATACCATAAGTAAAACTGACTCAACTGAGAATCTAACTGAAATGAGAAAAAAGCAACTGGAGAGGTGGATAGGGAGAGATGCAAGCTTTCTATCGCATAGAGATCTCCAACTCTACAGCTGGTTCTAATCTGCTTCTTGGACACCCGATCCTACACGCAACAGACAGAAGAGGAAAAAATAACATCAAAACCAAAAATATCAAGTTGACTAATAGATAATAAACTAACAGATAGCTGAAGAACATAAAGAACAGAGGGAATAGTAACAGTAGACATAGCAGAGGGTAAGACAGACTCAATAGACTGAACCGACATACCAGACCTATTAGCAGTATTAATAGTAATAGGAACGGGTGGGGAATATAGTTTTGAAGTAAGGAAAGATGAGGAGTTATATGATGAGAGGCACTAGAATCAAAAAGCCAGATAGAAGATGAGATACTTGAAGGAGACCCAAACAAACCTGAAGAAAGAAAGGTAAGAGCAGAGGCAGATGGGGATGGCTGGGAGGTGGATAAGAGATGTTGAAGCTAAGAAAGCTGTGCATACTCAAGAAAGCCAAGTCAGGATCAAAGGCCGGAGCAGATGCAGTATAAGCAACAGGAGGTCAAAAAGTACTCAGAGCAGGACTTCGAAACTGTCTGAGGTGGATTAGAAGACCGAGTAGACTGACGTCCCTTCTTAGGACAGTTGTACTTTCAATGGCCCTTCTGATGGCAAAAGGCACACTCATCAGAGGCTAGTGGCCCTTCTTGGGCTTCGCACTGGCCTGAAGCTGATGAGTTGGTGGGGTCGACAATAGAAGAGGCTGAGTAGAAGCCAAGAAGACAAATGGAGACAGAGTCTGAATGGCCGTCTTAAGACGGGTTTCCTCGAAGAGGAGCTCACGAACAATAGCATCCACAGAGGGGAGAGAAAACTAATGAAAGATGTCGCCACAGATAGCCTCATACTGAGGGGAGAGAGCCATTAAGAACTGCACTAAACGACCTTGCTTCTCGAAGAGGAGCTCACGAACAATAGCATCCACAGAGGGGAGAGAAAACTGATGAAAGATGTCGCCACAGATAGCCTCATACTGAGGGGAGAGAGCCGTTAAGAACTGCACTAAACGACCTTGCTTCTGAAACTCAACATAAGCATCTAGTGCCTTGAGGCTAGATAGTTCCATGTGAGCCAACTGATCCCAGAGACCTGTCATCTCAATATAGAAGTCCTGAATAGATTGATCCCGCTGACGAGCACTCTGAATAGCTGTTTTCAACTCATACCGCTTGGCAAAGTTGGACTGTTGATACACATCCAATAAATAGTCTCACACCTCCTTGGCAGTATTGTATTTGGAAAACATCATTCCAATACGGTCATCCACAGAATTATGAAACCAAGTTAGAAATTGGGCATTATCACAATCCCAAGTGTCACAGGAAGTCAGATATCTTCTTGTTTCGGGTCTAATGGACGAGGAACGGAACCAGAAACATAGTCCCATTTTTTTTGACCAAGAAGGAAATTCTTCATAACACTAGCCCAATAAGCATAATTGGCACTAGTGAGTTTACATCCGATAGCTTGGATTTTGGTGTCCGTCATTGTAATAAAACCAAATATTAACAATTTGAAGAATAATACAAAATACCAAGAGGCTCAAACTGTAAATAAATATTCTTAACCAAAGAAAGAACAATACTATAGAGCCAAATAAAACACGAACGCAGAGAGACAGGGAGGGAGAGAGAGAGACAAACAGAGCAGCAGACGATAAAGACGACGAACCAGTGGGACCGATGAACCAGAGGGTGTGTTCGAGTATTTGAACCAGAAAGAGAGAGAGGCGAAGACCCCTGAGTCGCGACTTCAGACCAGGTAGCCAGAGACGACTTCGAACAACAGGTGTGACTGCCGGCCAGACCTAGGGTTTCAGACGTGGCTCTGATACCATGTAAGATTTTTGTGTATTCAACTTATGTAATACAAAGATTACAACCAATATTTATAACCTAATCTATAATAGGAAATACCCTATACAATCAATTGAATATGCACAATCAACCAACCAACCTACAACCTACCTAATTGATACATAATACCATAATATTCTCACATATGCTTCGTGCAGTTGTAAAACTGAGGGAACATAAACCAAGAACCAAATATGCTAATTCATTGTGAAATTCTATTAAGTGGCCGACCTGTGGAACAAAAGATAAGGCACTTTCCTGCAAGTATAAGTGACACCATTCAAGAATCTCATATTATTCTTCCTAGTAAATCAAGCTCTTGGTTGACTATTTTTAAGCACTTTGAAATAAGCTGTTGTAAATTAGTTCTTTTGGAATCTTAAATACATAATGAATTGTGTTCCATGGTTGTGATTGAACTAATTAGTTTGCTTCGATTTGTTGACATGATTTCTCTCTTCATATGATTGTTCGTTTGTAGTATATATTTATGCCCCATGTCCACATATCGCAGTCTATTCATTGTTAAAGCATTATTGTTAGTAAATATTTATGGTATTGGCCAATAAGGGCAGCCTAACAGATCTCTTTGAAAAAATATTCATTTCTTCCCCTATTTGAATGGTAAAATCTTGGCCTATACCTTAAAGGTTATGGGTTCAAGTCTCAGGGCAACCACTTTGTGCACTATGCCAAAGATTAGGTGTGTACTGAATCTTTTCCTTCCCAAACACACATTAATGTGTACTATTTGGGCGTTGTTTTTTTTGTTTTTTATTTGAACCCTCAATATCCATGTTTTCACCCCAACCAACTCTACCAGTGATCTCACTTACTGTACGTCAATTCTCTTTTCCCAAGAAAGAAAAGGGAAAATTTGAAACGAGGCCATCAGAATGAGCCCGATCTTAGCTAAACTTAAGATTGCAAAAATAATAATTTTTTTTTAAACTTAGTGTGTGCATGTGAAATTTTGGGAGAATAGGAATAGAAGATTGTCCAAGAATCTTAGATGAAAACCCAAGGAGGATCAGTATCGGAAAGAACAATGCTATACATAATTTCATTTCTTATCCTATATTCTCACTTCCCAGATTAATGGATGCACATGGGACCCACTCACTTGTGTCTAGTGAGAAAATGAGATAAGAAATATAATTATATGTGGCATTTCTTATCAGCAAATGTTTGGTGGACTAGCCTATCCCAAATCAGTAGACTTGTTGCTTGATATCACCGATGTTGCTATTGTTCTGTTCCTCAGCAAACACACAACTAACAGAAACTTCTTGGCAAGTTGTCATTATATTTGGTGTTTAGCTATGATATTTCTATATTTGGTTGATTAGTGTTGTTCAAGAATTACTTGGAATTATTACTCCTTCAGATCAAGAAATTGCTGAGAGAAAAGAGGCTGGTGGACATAGTGGATGAAAACTTAAAAGACTACGATCCCAAAGAAGTCGAGACTGTTGTTCACGTTGCTCTACTCTGCACGCAAAGTTCACCAGAAGATCGTCCCAAGATGGCAGAAGTTGTAAACATGCTTAAAGGAGAAGGTTTGGAGGAGAGATGGGCTGAGTGGGAGCAACTTGAAGAAGTAAGAAATCAAGAATTCTCACTTTTGTGTCACCCGTTTGAATGGGCCGAAGAATCTACAAATGACCAAGAAGCTGTGCAGTTGTCACAAGCAAGATAAGAACTTGTAGGGCACTTTAAAGATGGACTGAAGTCTGGGTTCTATGCCCTGCCTTCTGGGATAATCCATGTATCAGATTAGATTCATAGTACTTTTTAAGTATATGAACAAATTCAAGCAGTGTTGTACGTGGTATGGTAGTGGTTTGGGCTTTGGAACTGTTTCTTTGTGATCATCTTAATGGTGGTCTTGTAAAATAATTTTGATCCTTAACTTTGTGTTCGTCTTTTTGATCTTTTTATTTTTTGTTAGTTCATCTTCTTGTTCATCTTCATACTACAGAAACCCAGTGGATGCAATCTTTAAAAGTTCCCAATGCCTTGTTTTTGGTTAGTTTGTTGATATTGTATTGTGGGCAGACTTACCAAATAGTAATGCTATATACAGAACGGAATTTGTACAAAATTCTCATACAGAATGATGTATTTCCTTTTCTTTCAAATCAAAACAGCCACAATTCTAAAAAATTTCTTGCCACATCTTCTTGGGTCTTTTTCCAAATTAAGCCAAAATAACAACTTATTTTCCAAACTAGGCTAAAACGCTATTACAAACTACGCTTTCACTGTTTTTAGAACCCTCATGCAGAAAATTTGTGAAATGGTAAAAGCGTGATTACAAATCACGCTTTTAAAGAAAAAAAAAATTTCTTCATAAAACGTGGATTTTAGAAAATTTTTTGAGAAAACGTGGTTTCGAACCACATTTTCAATATCAAACACTCCACGCACTCACTCTTTTCTCTCTCTCTCTTTCTCTAACACACAAACACTCATCACTCACACAAACACACACCAAACCAATATAATTTTTAATATATATAATAATAATTTATAATAGCAAATAATAATCAATTATATGAAATTAAGATCAATATTTTCAAATAATTTTTTTTCAATTATTCTTATATTAGAGAAAATTATTTCATTTAGTCCTAAGAGTTTTCTTATGGACCAATTAGTCCTATGTTTTTTAAAAGTCATATTTGGATGATTTTGGTGAAATTGGAGTTTACATGATTACCCTTTTTGTTCCTTTTCTGATGTTTTTTCCATATTTTCAGCAAATCAGTTTGTAATGGCTATGGATTGTGTTTGGCGTTTCCCAAGATGCTTGTATTGGTTCACGTCACCTTTTGTTTTGTTTAGGGCAGAGATAGTGGTGAGTTGTTTTTGGTGTGTAGTGTTTTTTCCATTTCGACAGGTGCATTGTTTGGAGTGTTGCCTTGCCGATCAATAGGTGAGTCATTTGTTTTTTGGGGGTTAACGGTTTCTGTTGGTTTATTCGTGATGTTAGTGTGTTATGGCATCGTTTTTGTTTGTAATAGTTTGATTTTTTTTCGAGTTGGTTACTGGTGGCAACAGTCTGTGGTGTTGTTTTTTTTTCGGTGGTATGTGGTGGTGGTTTTACTGTGTGATTTGTAATGCAAATGGATACTTTCATGGCACAGAACAGATCGACCATATCAAACTGGTGTTGTGGTGTATTTTTATCCGAAATATATGTTACGTCACGTTACACACCAAAAATGGGTGGTGTTTTTTTAATTTCAATTGGCACGTACGTGGTATGTTGTTATTACTGGTATTATTAGTTTGGCGTTTTAGTGCCATCGTTTCGTTTGCTTGATGTGGTTTGTGGTTTGTTGCAGGTGTGTTTTAATTATAAATATGCGTTTTCGATGTTACGTTGCGGCAATGTATGGTTGAGCAACACAGATGCCTAAGTAAGTAATGCCAAATTAACGCCAGAAAAATTTCATTTCCGTTTACATTGATTCGGAAAACACATTGTTCTTACCCCATGTCACACAAGAGTCCACAATCTTTCCAAATTCTTCACCCTAAAATTCGAAAAAGCTTACATTAATGAAGCCCCAATTTTGTAAATTCACCAGCTTGAAATACCTTAAATATCCCTTAACATTCCATACACGTCCAAATTACTTATTGTCTATATATGTAAAATACACTATAATAGGACTTAATGGTCTATGAAAAAAAACTCTGGACTAAACAGATTATAAGTTCTCATTTTGCGATTTATTGGTACATCACCCAATTATTTTTCTATTAATTTTTTTTTCAATTAATCTTTTATTTCAATTAAATTTTTTTAAAAAAAAAAATTTCCCAATTTTCAATTAATTTTTTTAAAATTAATTTTTTTTCAATTATTTTTTTAATTATTTTTTTTTCAATTATAATATGTGTGATCCCATTGTCATAAATAATAAAAATAAATATAAATATTTTAGACCTGAATAAACATATTTTTTATTTTATGTTTTTAAACATTTTGTTCAAACCAAACGCGTTTGTAATTTATGTTTTTCTAAAAATAAACAAAAATCAGTTTATAAAATTTTTGTAAACATAAAGTAAAAATGTAAACGTTACCAAACACGTTACCACTTTCCAGTTTATATTTACCAAAATTTTATAAACTGGTTTTTGTTTATTTTTAGAAAAATATAAACTACAAACACGTTTGGTAATTGACAAAATGTTTAAAAAAATTTAAAAATATAAAAAGAGTGAGAAATGGCAAGTGGCGGCGGAAGACGGTGGTGGAAAGTGGTGATTGTGGGTGGTGGTTAGCTGGTGGTGGTAGGTGGTGGCGGGTGAGTGGTAGTGGTGGGTGGGTAGGTGACGGTGGCAAGTGGTAGCGAGTAGGTGGTGGTGGTGGCAGCAAGTGGATGGCGGATAGCGGGTGGTGGTGGGTGGTGATGATGGGTGGGTAGGTAAGGGTGACGGTGACGGGTGGTAAGTGGTAGCGGATGGCGGGTGGTGGTGGGTGGTGGCAGGTAGGTGGTAGTGGGTGGATGGGTAACGGTGGCAAAAACATAAATTACAAACGCGTTTGGTTTGAACAAAATGTTTAAAAAAATTTAAAAACATAAAATAAAAAATATGTTTGTTCAGGCCTAAGATATTTATATTTAATTTTATTATTTATCACAATGGGATCACACATATTATAATTGAAAAAAATTTAATTGAAAAAAAATTTATTTGGGAAAAAAAATATTTGAAAAAAAAATAATTGAAATAAAAGATTAATTGAAAAAAAAATTAATTGAAAAAAAAATATTTGAAAATATTGGTCTTAATTTCATATAGTTAATTATTACTTGCTATTATAAATTATTATTATATATATTTAATATTGGTCTTAATTTTATAAAATAAAATTTATATATATTAAAAATTATATTGGTTTGGTGTGTGTGTGTGTGAGAGAGAGAGAGAGAGATATGAGTGTGTGTGTGTCTCAGAGAGAGAGAAAAGAGTGAGTGCGTGGAGTGTCTGATATTGAAAGCGTGGTTCGAAATCACGTTTTCTCAAAAAAAATTCACATTTTATGAAGAAAAAAAAAATCTGTAAAAGCGTGGTTTGTAACTACGCTTTCTTAATTAAAAGCGTGATTTATAACCACGTTTTTACCATTTCACAAATTTTCCGCGGGAGGGTCCTAAAAACGGTGAAAGCGTGGTTGGTAATAGCATTTTAGCCTAGTTTGGGAATTCCGTCCAAATTAGGCCTAGTTTGGGAAATAAGTTACTATTTTGGCTTAATTTGGAAAAAGGCCCCATCTTCTTGATTATTATTAATATTTTTGGAGTAAAAAATTATGTTTGTCGATCATTAAAACAAAATAGAATATGAATATATTAAGGGCTCATTTGTTTGGCTTCATGGGATAGAGGAAATAAAGAGTACAGTAAGATTGAGTGATGAGATTATTAATGTGGTGATATTAAGTTAGAGATGTAGAATAAATAGTGTTTGTTTCTAAGCCACCCAAATTAGTAATATTATAGATATTATTAATATGTATATAATTAATATTTTTTATTTTTAGTATTTTTAATATTATAATTATTTTGTTCTTGTACTTTTTAAGTTCACTAAATTTAGAGAGATACTCAAAAAAATTTAAATTTTGTATAAAAATTATTTAAAAGCTCACTAAATATAAAAAAATTCATAATTTTTAGTACTTATTAAAAAATTTAAAATTTTCTTTTACAAATAAACTATTAGAAAAAAAAGCATAAATTAACAACAAAATAAGTATAACCACCACCACCGTGAAAGAGTTATGGGCAGGTCCAAATTGTTTTTGAAACAATAATCCACGGGACTCATTTCCCAAACCCATGTCTCTCTATCAACTATGCTAGTCGTGCTGCTCGGTGGGTTTGTGAATCCAATTGGGTTATCAATCTGGTGGTTAATTTTACAACCAAACATGTTATGAAACATGTTACGAATAAGATCCACATTAATTTTAATTTAGTCTTATCACTGATGTAGGAAAACAAACTTGACTTAAATGTTAATTGGATTGTACGTCATATATATTGGATGAGAGTCTAATTTTGTTAATAAACTTACGTGAATAATAAAGAAAATTTGATATATTTAAAAGTAAGACTTAGGCCTCGTTTGGGGAGTAGCTATTTTAACCAAAAAGCTAAAAAGTCAACTAAAACTAGTCACATCACATCTCTATTTTTCTGCACATCTTTTCGTAAAAAATCAAAAAGTTACTAAAATAGTCTGTTCCCAAACGAGTTATATTCAAAAAGTGTATTGATTTCATAAAAAAATTATGAGTTTTACTGTTTTGGACCAATCACAATTTATATATTATTTATGTACTTTTAAATTCATTTTCATTGGATGATATTTTAGAGAGCAACAATGCTACTCCTAAAAAACACAACCCCACAACCGCCACTCACCTGTGATTGGCCCAGGAAGGAAAGAAATAAATAATAAAAAATAAAATAAAAACACATGATTTGTCCACATTATTTTGGGGGTTATAGGCGTCTTCAACTTTGGGGGTCCAAAGCATTTTTATTTAAAGAAATTGCATCTCAATGCATGGTGAAAATATTAAGGGTTGGTTTGGCATAACCTATATAATCCATCTTTTTATCTTTTTATCTTGTTTCCATCACATCACCTCTCTACTTTTCTGCACATCTTTTCGTAAAAAGACAAAAAATGCACTTTTTTAGGACACCCCAAACCAACCCTAAATATGGAAGCACACACATAGATTTTAGGTTGGGTAGGGTTGGATAATGGGGGAGTTACGGGCCGCTCCTATGGACCAGTCTTATTACCCAGCAGATCCTATCCAAAAAAATCAAACAGTGTTTTTCATTTTTACTCATAGACTCAACAATGTAATTATGTAACTCAAAAATTTCAATGATAAATTCACAAAAACAAACTTATCACTGGTTTAAACAGTGATAAATTTCAGTGATGAATCCACAAAAACAAACTTAACACTGGTTTAAATAATGATAAATTTCATTAATAAATTCACAAAAACAAACTTATCACTGGTTTAAACAGTGATAAATTTCAGTGATGAATCCACAAAAACAAACTTAACACTGGTTTAAATAGTGATAAATTTCATTAATAAATTCATAAAAACAAACTTATCATTGGTTTATCACTGGTTTAAACAAATATATCACTAATTTATCACTAGTTTAAACAAATTTATCACTGGTTTAAACAGATTTATCACTGGGATTTTCTCCCAATATACAGAGAGAGAGAGAGAAAACCTGGCGGCAAAGAGCCTAGATCCTAGATCTAGAGGTGGAGGCGACGACGACTATGGAGGTGGAGGCGGCAGTGGTCGGCAATGACGGTAGAGGTAGAGGCAAATAAGTCGGTGGCGGTGGAGGCGAAAACGTCGGTGGAAGTGGAAGCAATGGTAAAAGTGGAAGAAGATGCCGGTTAAGGTCGCCAGCAATGACGACAGTGGAGGTGGCGGTGGTCGGCAACGGTGGAGATGGCGATGGTCGTTGGTGAAGGAATGTGTAGAGAGAGAGAGCTTCTTTTTCTTTCTTTTTTTTCATTTTCATCTCACAAATCTAAGTATAAATATGAGGGCAAAAAAGTAATAAACAAAAATATTCAGGACCTATAAGTAAAAGAGTCTCCGTTAAGGATCTGTTGGGTAATAACCCTTGCAAATAAGAGTAGCCCGTAAAAATCCCTTGGATAATATGTTTTAGAGAAATATTAAATATGGAAGTACATGAGTAATTATTGGGTGTTGTTGTAGTACGGTTATGTAGTGCTCTAGAACTGATGTGATTGGTGGAGAAGGTGGAACCTATAAATTTGTGTTGGGTGATTATATAATATAAGGAGTATAGTGTATGAAAATTATGTTTTAGGGATATTGTAAACTCAACACGATGTGAAAATATTAAATATATAGAAGCACACTTATGATTTGAAAGTTTATCTTGAATGCAGTATTTCTCTCTTCTTTTTGAGTCAGACAATGCATTTCTACAAAATATATGCATATTTTGTTGTTATAGATCATTTAAAATGGTTTGCTTTCTTTAAAAAAAATATTGAAAAAATATATTTGCATTGCTATGATTTCATTTAAAGAGATTTTAGATAAAATGAGAGTTTTGCTATTTGCCTCCACTTAATTTTTTAGACCCTAACTCTCAATTTTCAATTTCTAAAATAAAAAAATTAAAAAAAAAATCCTTCATTTTTTAATTACATTTTACCTTATCATAAAATATCAATTTTATTCCCATCTCCAATCATTTAAACCCTGACTCTATCCCTAGCTGCCACTCACTACTAGCAACTTCAGGTCTTCTCCCACCCATCTCCATCTCTAGCCACCCTTATTGTCACTCCACATTCCCTCCCTGCTACCTTTCTCCCCTTCCTCCACCTTCTAATTTCCTATCTTCTAATTTCCTATCTCCTTATCTTTTGATCTCTCTTGTCCCTTTGTTACTTTCTCTGTCACAAAATAAATTAAATAAATTAGTTGCATCATCAATTGAGAAAGATATATTATAAGAACTTAATTAAAAAGTTAAAGAATAAAGATTGGGACCCTCTTTCTTCCACCCCTTTGACCCCCTTTCTTTTTTGATTGATCACTTTTTCTTTTTATTTTTCTTTTCTTTTTTTTCTCCTCCTCCAATCACCACCCACCACGTGTGTGGGGGGTGGTGGGATTGAAATTTGATGGGATCTAAATCACTGCTGAAGGTTGAATTAGTAATTTTGCATATTGAAAATTTTGATTTGTAAAAAAGTTTAATTAATAATTTTACATATGGACAAAAAAAAAATCATAAAGTATTTATTAAAATTTAAACGTAAAAAGCCTCAATTCAAAGGCCCATTTGTTTTTTGTTTTTTTTTTCAATATCTCTCTCTCTCTCTCTCTCTCTCTCTCTCTCTGCTTAGCCTCGCCGGCCACGCGCCGCCCATTGCCACCGTCGCCGGAAATTGTCTCAGGTAACTATTCTCTCTCCGTGTGAATCCGAATAGATTAGCAGTTCTATCATTTGAATTTTGAATTGACGCACTGTTAAAGGGCATTCGATTATCTACAGTGCTTAAAAATGGCGTTCTTATATTATCGCTGTACTGTTTTTGTAGAGTTATACACTAGTATGCAGTTCACGATCTCTTTTTATGAAGTTGAAAATATTGCTTCGTTTATAGAAGTTGATTTTCCATGGTTTTGCTTTTTCGTTCTTGTTCTTTGCTTTTTTCATTATTAATGAAATCGAAATTAGGTTTTTTCATATGGAGGAAAATTTTGTACAACTTTATCGGTTTGGTAAACTAGGTGAGACAGTAGTGAATGATAAGAATATGATTTCTCACCCAACCAGAGGGTGGTTGGCGTAGTGGGTGATGACTGGGGCTTTGAGGTTTGCTCCTTCCCAGGTCTCAGGTTCAAATCCCCTAGCCAATAAACATACCTTGGGGCCATGGGCCGCAAGGTGTAAGCCCTGTTTCGAAAGGTTTGTTCAGGTTGTAGGGACTTAGTCTGATACGCATAAGCTGGTCCAAGAATCCTACATAACAAAAAAAAATGATTTCTCACCCTGGTGAGAAAATAAAAGAGATGATTATAGTTTTTCACCATAGGGTTTGAATGAATAAATGATCATTTTATTTTTGATGTTTTGTATTTAGATAGGCAATTTTGGTATTTTGAAAACTTTCTACAAAGCAATTTAGGCGTTTAGTAGATTGGTGTCTAGGGCGGTGTGTGGTAGTTTGTTGGAGGGCTTCCGGGTAGGTGTTGCAAGTGTTGATCCGTTAGTTGTTTCTCATCTTTTGTATATGGTTGATGCTTTGATTTTTTGTGGGGCAGAGCCATAGCAGTTGGGTTATTTTCGGTGTGTTTTGTTATGTTTTGAGGCAGTTTCCAAGTTGAAGGTGAATCTTGCGAAGTCGGAGTTGATTCCGATTAGGGAAGTGGATCAATTACAGTCAAGGTTTCAAAAAGCGGCATTATGTAATGGTTGCAGCCGTTATGTAACGGTTGTGGTGGTAAGCGCTATCCGTTACATTCGCTTTTATGGTGTGACAGAAATTTACATGTGTAACGGCCGTTTTGATGTTACATAATGGCCATAGCGGTACCGTAAAGGTCTGTTACACACCTTTATAAAATTCTAAATAGCTTTCTTTCCCAAAAATTTAAAAAAAAAATTAAAAAAAAATCTTATATAAAAAAAAAAGAATACTCAAGTGATCCAAGCAAAAAAAAAAAAACTTGTATGGATTTTTTTCTTTATAATTTATTTTTTTTAATTTTTATTTCATTATATTAGCATGTAAAATAAAAAAATGTATAAACAATGGTTGTATTTATTTTTATAATCATTTTATTTAATATTTAATTGTAAATATTTTTTTATTTTACTACTATAATGTGTTGTCTAAAGAATGTCTTTAAAAAAAAATTAGTAGCTCAAAAATAATTTTTACTTATGGCACAATTTTTATTTTTATAATCATTTCATTTAATACTTAATTGTAAATAATTTTATTTAGTTAGCTGTAACGTGTTGTCTAAAAAAATGTCTTTTAAAAAAAAATCATTAGTTCAAAAATAATTTTTGTTTATGGAACAATTTTTATTTTTATAATCATTTTATTTAATAATTGTAAATATTTTTTATTTAGTTAGTTCAAGTATTGGTCAAAAATAATTTTGTAGACATTTAAAATCAATTATTCTTAAAATAATTAACTATTGAAATAAAATGTAAAAAACTCATTTTATAATGATTTAAAAATATGAAATATATTGGATCATACTTAAAAACTAACAAAATTTGATTAAAATCTATTTTAAACCCTAATAAATGTGATACTAGAAAAAAAAATATGCATATCGGTAAATTTTTTTCAAATTATGTGAAAAAATAAAAATTCACGGCTCCAGTTACTACAGCCGTTACGCTACGACCTTTACACCCTACAACCGCAATCGCGCCACTACAACCGTCACGACGACCACAATCGCTTTTCAAAAACTTGGTTACAGTCTTTAGCGGCTATTTTAGGGTGCAAAGTGGCAACTTTGCCTGTGTCTTATTTGGGGTCCTTTGGGGGCTTCCTTTAAGGCTAAGGTGGTGTGGAATGGTGTGTTCAAGGTTTTAAAAAGCGGCCGCAACCGTTACGTAACGCCGTTATGTAACGGTTGTAATAGTTACCGTCACCCGTTACAGCCGCTTTTGCAGTGTGATTAAGATTCACAAGTGTATCGGCCGTAGCGACTACTATAACGGTCGTAACAGTGCTGTAACGGCTGTAACGGCCTGTTACACACCGTTATGTAATGGTTCCGAATTGCTTCTTTCGAAAAAACACACAAAAAAAAACAAAAAAAAAAAAAAAAAAAAAATTGAAAATGGGGGAAGAGAGATAGAGAGAGAAGAGGGAAGATAGAGGAACAAGAGATAGAGGGAGAGAAGAGGGAAGATGAAGAACATGTTATTGATTTGTTGAAACTGTAAGACCTATACTATTTTATTCCGTTGCTATCACTCAATCATTTTGTTTGTGTGTGTTTATCTATATATTGTTTAATAATAATAATAATAATAAGTGTGGTCATTATCTATTTAGCTTGATTAATATATATATATATATATTTAGGCTTTTATTTATTCTCTTACTTTTGTCATTGTTTGTCTTATATATAATAGTTAGTGATTGATTTTTTGTATAATATAAAGTCATTAATTATTAAAATAAAATGTAAAAAACTCAGTTTATAGTGATTTAAAAATATAAAATATATTGGATCAAACTTAAAAATTTATAAAAATTGATCGATATTTATTTTAAAATCCAATAAATATGATCATGAAAAAAAAATGTGCGTATTGGTAAGTTTTTTTCAAATTGTGCGAAAAATAAAAAAATTCACGGTTCCGGTTACCGCAACCGTTACGCTATGGCCTTTACACCCCGCAACCGCAACCGTGCCACCGTCACCGTTACGGCTACCGCAACCGCTTTTCAGAACCTTTGGCGTGTTAGAAAGGGTTCAACATCTGTTGGCAGGATGAAAGAAGTAGTATTTATGTAAGAGTGGGAGATTGACATTGATTAGGAATGTGTTGGGGAGTATTCCAACTTATTTCATATTGGTGCATGTTATTCCGGTGTTTGTAGCTTGTTGGTTGGAGAATTTGCAGCGGGACGTTTTGTGGGGTAGTGGTGAGGGTGAGTTTAGATATCACCAAGTGAGTTGGGATTCAATTTGTCGTCCAAAGGAGATGGGGGGGTTTAGGGGTGCGGAGGTTGTAGACTGTAAATTCTGCTTTGTTAGGGAAGTTGTTATGGCAGTTTTCTTGGGAGAGAGATTGGTTGTGGCGTCGGGTGATAGCTGTGAAGTATGGGATTGGTCGGGGGAGTGGAGTTCGAGGAGGGTGGATGGGTCTCATAGTTGTGGTTTGTGGAAGGGTATTTGGCTTGGTCAGGGGGAGTTTTGGAGCATAGTCAGTTCCAAGTGGGTTTAGGAAATAGGGTGAGCTTTTGGAAGGACAGGTGGTGTGGTGAAATGGCTTTGGAATTTCAGTATTCGTTGTTTTTTTGTCTTGTTGTGGATTCAGATGCTATGGTGGCTTTATTTGGGAAGGGGAGGGAAGGGAAGGGAAGGGGGGGGGTTGGGGTTGGGGTTGGGAATGGGAATGGGGTGGTTTGGGATCTTAAGCTGCGTCAGCAGGTCCAGGATTGGGAATTTGGCCAGTTGTTGGATATTTTGAACTTTCGTCATGGGTTGTATATAGAGAAGAGGGGAGAGGATATTCTGGTTTGGGGGGGTTTGGGTTCTAAAGGTATTTTTTTGGTGTCCTCTTTTTATCGAGCTTTATGTGGAGGTGGGATGGGGAAGTTTCCTTAGCGGCAGATTTGGATTATACGTGTTCCTTTAGAGGTGGCTTTCTTTATGCGAACGGTGGCTTTTGGTAGGATCCTTACGATTGATAATTTGGTTCAACATGTGGACATTTTGGTTAATTAGTGTTGTATGTGCTATGGTGACGCAAAATCAGTGGACCATTTATTGATTCAGTGTCTGGTAACTTACTGTTTGTAGGTGCTTGTTTTTTCTTCTTTTGGAGTTGTGTGGGTTCAACAAAAAGGGATGATGGAGCTTCCTTGGAGTTGGGGTGGGGGCCAAGTTGGGAAGTGGCATCGCAAGGCTTGGGCTTTGGCCCCTTTGTGCCTAATGTGGTTGTTGTGGTTGGAGCAGAATTGACGTGTTTTTCAAAGAGTTGCTTGCTTTGTTTCCTGGTTAGAAGATAGGTTTTTGCGAGTCTTATGTGGTTGGGTGTCAGGGCGTGTAGATCCTGATTTGTTTATCTTTTTAGATTTCATTGGTGATGTGATTGGCTAGTTTGTTTTCCCCTTTTGGGGGCTCTGGTTTTTTGTATTCTTTAGCATCTTGTTCATGCTCTTCTTCAATAAATTTTGTTTATCAAAAAATTTTCTTTCACCAAATCTCATCAATGAATAAAAGAAGCCACATGGGTCAATTTATTTTTAATGTTTTGTATTTAGATGGCCAATTTATGTATTTTGAACATAGTTGTCAAATCGGAATTCGAATCGTGAATCAAAATGTCCTCGTACTGAATCATGAATCGAATCGAATCATGAGTCATAAAAGATTCGGTCATTTTAAAAAATTAGATAAAAAACATATCTACGCACTTAAATATTACATTTATCTATGAAATATTTAATGAAAATGCTGTTTGGTTTTTTGTTTTGTGTTATGTTATTTTTAATGATTTTTTTTTTCATATTTTAATTATTATTTTTTAATTTTTGGATGCACCTAATTTAGGTGTGTACTTGAAAGGTAAAATATTTGTGATAGATTCTAAGAAAAAAAAATTAATAAATACAAAAATATAAAATATATATATATATATAAAATAAATAAATAAATAAATTATTAACCATTCTTTAATCTTAATAAAGAGAGCAATTAAAAACTCCAAATTCCAACACCAATAGCACAGTGACAGCAATAACTAAAGTAATAAAAAGGCTCAAAGTGGGCAATCTATAAACTATTCAATTTAGTTCTTGTACAACAAACAGTATCGTATGGAGTTTGTGGAACAATAGCAGCTCAAAGTCCAAGCACGACACCTCAAAAAAGTTTGTTAAAGCTTCAAGATTTAATTAAAGTTGAAGGCGCAAGGACCCAACATCAAAAGCTACTTCTTCGTAACTAGAGAAAGAGAAAAACATTTTTTTTCTAGGGTTTCGTCGTTTGAGAGTTAATAGGCAAACCAAAAGAGAATGGGATTATTATATAATAACTCGAAAGGTCTTAGAAGACCTAGTCGATCCATTCTCCAGCAAAATAAAGCAAAAAAAAATGCATCATAAATCAAAGAAATCCATTCGGGTCCGACTAGTTGTAGGTTTACCTGCGATTTCCATAATCGTGCGATTCTGCAATTCTTACGATTCGGTGATCGATTCAACAATACAAGTGCGATTCATTGCCATTTACGATTCTCTCTACTAGTTCATATCGATTTGTATGTGTATTGAACCGAATCGTACAATTCGAATCGCGAATCGTACGATTCTAACAACAGAGATTTTGAAAACCTTTTATAAATCAACTTTCTTTATCACCAAATCTCTTCAATTTTGGTGTGAATCAATATATGAGTTTAGGTTTTCTTCTTCTTTTTCTCACCATTTCTATCCACTTCAGCTTCTAAATTATCCAACAAGTTATTGGAGTTCTTTCTCTCTATTTCTTTTCTTTGCTCACCAAAACTCTCAATCCAAATGGGCTGTGGCTGATTAGTTGGTCAAATCCTTCATCAAGTCTTCAATGACCAGTTTAGATTGCATTATAACTCAATTGTGTCTGCCAATTGAGTGCCATTTCAGCATTTCTTCTGGTATATTGTCAAGCTAAATTCAAAGTGCAAGTTTGGTATAAAGCTGCAGATACTGATTCGGGAACTTCTATTTCCACACACCACATTATCTCAGTTCACACATTTAATTCTGAATTTTTGGTTCAAAAGTTGATTTCTGAACAAAACTATTTGGCTCGAGTTTTGTTCGGAAATCAACTTTCAAACCAAAGATACGGCCGAATCAAATAATTTTGTTCGGAAGTTGATTTTCAAACCAAATAGTTTTATTCGGAAGTTGATTTACAACCAAAAAAAAAAATGTCTGCACTGAGAGGAAACATTGTGTGGAAATAGAAGCTCCCTCCGGTCCCTCCTGCATATAATTTTGTGATATTTTGTGACCTTCTATGAAAATTTATAGTTCATTTCAGATCACTATGACAAATAAATGGTGTTCAATGGTACTTGCTGTTCATGTTCGTACTTCTTAGGTTTCCTAAGACTCCATATGAGGTATGCTTTGTTAAGAATTGGTCTTTAGGAATCTCTGGTCTCTAATTACTAGCTGGAAGACATTGACCTATCTTTTTGTTAAAGGGGGTGATTTGGAATCTAAAGACACCTAGCAGTTGTAATCTATACTATTATTAAAAGTGAACACGTTATTTGTTGTCCATGAACTTCCTTCCCTCCTTTTGCTAAGTAGCTTTCTCCTCTTGCGTCAAGTGTCAATTTCTCCATCCAAAAGGGAAAAATAAAAAACACTTTCATCACTTAAACAACACAGAAAATATGTTCTGAATTCAAAATTAAAATTTATATTTTAAGCACACCCGTTGGGTGGGCTCACAACATACTGGTATTTTCATTATTTCCGTGATGAGGTCTTGATCCTTCTACTGGCATTTTCATTATTTTACTCTTGTTAACCAATAGGTGCCCAAGTATATCCCAATTTGCTACATGAGACTCAAATTTAATGTATTTTGGCAATCTGCTCGGGTTTTTCTTTGAAGTTGGGGAGAAAAAAAAAATCAAAATTTGAATGCAGTTTTTATCAAACGATGCTATGAACCACATATGGAAGTTTCGTGGTTTCATGCTTTGTTTTGTTTTGGGGGTTCTTCAGATTGTATAGTTCCCAACTAAGGGCAGGTTTCCATATTGCACCATGTATAAATTTCCATTCCCTTTAGGTCGAAATTGATTGAAGCAGCATGCCCTCTCACGGTTTAATTCATGGTTTAGTTTTTAACTTCCTGGTTATTTTAGGGTTGGTTTGGGGTGTCCTAAAAAAGTGCACTTTTTGTCTTTTTACGAAAATATGTGCAGAAAAGTAGAGAGATGATGTGATAGAAAAAAGATAAAAAGATGGATTATGTAGTCTATGCCAAACCAGCCTTTAATTATAGTAAAGGATGTGAGTTTACTTTTGTGATTTGCATCTGGATCTTAAATTGGTTTCATCATTGTAATTTAATGTGCAGTGATACCTGAAGAGGGAAAACTATGGGTGTTCCAAGCTTTATGTGTGGCTTATGAGGTAACTGAGTTGTTTGATGAAACATGAGCTGCACTGCAGTCACAGCATGCCAGCTGGCTGTCAATTTCAAAAATATTTATCATTCGAGTAGTGTACCTTCTATGCTATGTGTTACTCCAACCCACATCAATCGATTCCCCGAGACTTACTTAAAGCTGGCCTCTAGTGGATCAACATACTGGTATCGCGCACCTGTTTGTTTATTTGGTGACAAAGGGAAGTCAGAGAATCCCAATAAGGTAAAGGGCCTTCTTGAAATTCATTGTTTTTGTTGTTGTATTAATTGTATGATTGAATGAGATGTTATAAAGTACCTTTGATACAAACTCCAAGCCTTTAGATCACAATGAAGACAGGAGATAAAAGAAGAGAAGTAGTGATTTGGAGAGTAACTGTGTCCCCTCAGGCCCATAAAAACTCTCTTTTCCCAAAATGAGGTGATTTGGAAAAGAAGTTAAAAAATATAGCACAAAGTACGCATACAGAAAAGAGGAATTCAATATCTTCTGCCTTCCCTTCCTGTCCATTTCTTCTCGGCAACCAACCTATGAAATTTTTATAATACTCTCTTTCTTCAATTTCTTCTCTTCTTTTCTTACATGTGGAATCCAATGTGTGTTATAGCCAGTGTTCCAGAGTTTGGGCCACAGATTGGCTTGCATGCAGTGACTCCCAGCAGTCTGAACAGCTTCAATTGGGAATTCTTTCTGGTCCAATGCTGTCATAATCCACCATTAGAAATTCCCTTGTTTATATGCTCAAGAAGAAGAAGAAGAATAAAGTAATAACCACTTCTCAGTGTCTCTCTTGCTCTAATAGTTTTCTTTTTCTGGTTATTTTCTTCCCCTTTCATTCTCCAACTCTTAAATTAAAACCTGTCCACATCTTTTAGTTCTTTCTTTTTCCTGCTTTAAGAAAAGATGCCAAAACCCCCTTGCCTCCTTATCCTATTCCCAACAAGGCAAACTATATGTCTTGCTACTAAAAGATCATGCATCCATTTGGTTTTTCTTAATTCAAATGCTTCATCATGACTCATATTTTTGTCGGCGTGGTATGTCCCATCAGAGATTGTTAATTGGTGCTTATGGGTTTTTGGAACATGCACTATGCTCCATCTTGAGTTTTCTGATAGGGAGTTGAGTTAATAGATTTTCTTGACTAAGTAAATACAACCTATAACTTATATTTGGGTGATATCTATCAAAAGCATGCCTTTTTACGTATTATTACTTTGTGATCGTAGTGGCTGTATCTAAACAGCCTTCCCTGACTTCACATTTGCTTTTGAGAATGTCTGATCAGTGAAGTAATACTATGGAATATTGATGGTTATGAACTTTTGAAAATTCTTTTTTGGATCTTGGTCCAAGTCTTCAATTACTTATTTCTCTACAAAAAAAATATTCCATTTTAATTGACTTCAAATTGCTATCAGGCTTCTCCATGGGAAGCTCTGGAGAAAGCTATGGGAAGGTTTAAGAAGGAACAGTCTGTAGAGGATATATTAAAGCAGCAGATGGAAAAGCAAGAATTCTATGATGATGGAGGTAGTAATGGTGGAAATCGTCCTGGTGGTGGCGGCGGCGGCGGCAGTGGCAGTGGTGATTTTGGTGAGCCAGAGGATGAAGGCTTTGCTGGGATCGTGGATGAAGTACTGCAAGTGACCTTAGCAACTATTGGTTTTGTGTTTCTGGTAATTACTCTGAAAACTCTCTCAATCGATCGATCGACCGACCGACAATATAATTACAAAAAAGCATCTTTTGCAAGTTCAATGTCCGCGCTAGGACAAACTGAAGTTCTCATTTGACAAAAAAAATTCTCCTTTAACTGTTAAGCTCTGTTTGTTTGGCCAGAAAATATTTTTAGGGAAATGTTTTTCACATTTTCTAGCATTTGGTACAATAGAAAACAATAGTCAATGGACAACGTTTTCCATAGTTGAGAATAACAAGTTCATTTGAGCAGAAAATAGGTGGAAAACATTTTCAGAACTAAATTCTTACCAATGTCACCACATTAACACAACCACCATCATCTCCACCACCCTACCACCGGTCCACCGCCACCAACACCAACACCACACCCCCACCAGGGCCACTGTTGAAACAGAGTGTTAAGTTGGCAAAGCATTCAGCTTTCTTTGCCAGTCAAAATTTTCTACTGTCCTTTTATCAGTTGCTCCTAGCTATAGATGTGGAGTGAAAAGATTGATGAATTTTCTCGTATAAATTTGATTAGATGATTATAGATATCTACATAAGATGAATGGCAGAATTTCCAGGTCTTAATCACCTGGAAGCCCCTCCATTTTTTCTTAAGTGAGTACACATTTTTAACATTGTCTTTTTTTGCTTCAGTATATTTACATCATCGAGGGTGAGGACATAACTCGGCTAGCACAGGACGTCATTAAGTTTGTGTTTAGTGGAAGGAAGAGTGTCCGTCTGAAGCGTCTCTTATATGAATGGGGAATGTTCTTCCAGAGGCAGACAAAGAAGAAGGAGATGCGAGAAGATTGGTTGGAATGTGCAATTATCACTACTCCTACACTGTACGATAGCCCTGAAAAGTACGAGCGCATCCTTCGGTCCTACCTTACTACTACTACGACGACTACAACTACCAGATCTGATGATGATGATGACGGTGATAATCATCCTGATCCTGGATACTACGAGGAGTAAATGCTTGTGTTGAATTTCTTTTGGCTTTCTAGTCTTTACATTCTTGTATTTCTGTCTTCAAGTGGGATCAATGTTGTCGTGGTTCACTGTTTTTTTCTTGTGAGGGCATCAGAAGATTACTGTTTTTTTTTTGGCTATTTTATCAGTAACATAATCAGTGATTCAGTTTCCTCTCTCTCTCTCTCTCTCTCTCTCTCTCCTGTGTACACCAAACTGAATTCTGAAACTTTTGAATCAGAATCTTGAACAAACTGCAAAAAGTGGTTTGATTCCACATTTCTCTCTCCTGTGTACTCCAAACTGAGTCCTGAAACTTTTGAATCAGAATCATGAACAAACTGCAAAAAGTGGTTTGATTCCACATTTCATGTTATTCATGGACTCCGCATTTCATAACATTTCATGTTATTAAACTCATTCAAGGTAAGTTATGGGTTCCTAAGGGTGATTTCACAACATTTTTCTTGATTCCATGGCTTTAAATTAGAAAATTCATCATTATATCTAGATGTAGTTTAATAAAAATTAATTTATCTATACAACTACTTCAAAAATTGCATTAGCATATTCTAAATGTTTATGCTGATCAAAAAAAAAAAAAATCCAAATGATTACAATATTTTCAAAACTAACTTTTATAAAATATGTAAAGGCAAAGCAAATTCTTCATATTATATAAATTACAATTTTCAACGATATACTATAAATAGTGAACAAAAATTATACACATTTTTGTAGGCAAATAAAGTGTTTTGTGAATAGAATGAAGATATTGTCGATGTTATAGTGTGATTGAGAATAAAAAGTGTGAGTGAAAATAAAAGCAAGTAACTTCTTATTTGCAGTGGCTGTTGTGCAGCACCCAAGTCCTCATATAAAATATATTATACATATTAAAATACATATTAAAATTAATAAAACATCAAATGATAAAATATCAAGATTGAGTCACTTTAAAAAGCCATTGAATATTTGTCCCTTCATTTTTTTATCAATAATTTATTTGTTGTGTGAATGAAAGATTAAATTGTTGTATATTTTATAATGAAAAGGGAAAATTACTAAAATATCCCTTTTTAATTTTGGGTAGGAGGAGAAATCTAATATGTTTTTTTTATTATTATTACCTAAGGTCCCTGGATAAAATTTCTCTGTAAAAATTGAAATTTCTTTGTGAAAATGTTGAAGGACTCCAACTACTATGAAAATATTGTATATTCTCTATTTTATAAAATTTTAATATCAAGGATTTTAAAAAAGATTCTCCTAATGAAAACCCTCTTTTGATCATATTGATTTCAATAAAAAGAAAATTAACGTTATTATGTAAAATTTACAATACTTAGTAAGTAATTTAAAAAGAGAACATTGTACGTAGTAAATTATATTAACCTCTCATAAAATTTAACTAACGAATTATTTAGAATATCTCCAATCTTTCATCAAATTATTTATCAAAATTAAATTTGATAAAAATGAGGTATAATCCTTTTTATCAAACACGTATTAAATTAAGGGAGAAATAAATTTTTTATCAAATCAAGGATGAACCAAATATTTCATCAAATTTTTAACTAGTCTTTTTTTCATTTAAGTTTGATTAAATTGTTAAAAGATAAAGGATTAGAGCAAGATTTTTTTTACCAAAATTGATAAAAAGTGAAATTTGGGATGAGAACTAATTTTTTAAAAGATTTTGATGCAAATTTGATGAAAGGATTTGAGTAATTCATATCAAATCAAACTTTTTACTTAAATTTAAAATCAAATTAGATGAAAATTTTGATGAAATTATTGGAATAATTCATATCGAATCAAACTTTTTACTTACATTTAAAATCAAATTAGATGAAAATTTTGATAAAAGAATTGGAGATGATTTTATAAGAAGTTAAGGGACAATTTGGCATCCCCAAAACAAGGTACTTTTTATTTTTTTAAAATCATATCAACTCTCTATTTTTTTACATATTTTTTAAATAAAAAATAAAAAAATATATATTTAGATCATCTCAAATAACCAATAAGTATTATTTGAATTTGTTTTTATATTTTAATATAATCATACTATAAAACTTGTAATTTACACCATAAATGTGCCATAGCTCGAATTCTTAAGGCTTGAGTGGCCCGAAAAGTGAAATTTTTTGTATAAGGGGATGTTTAATTGTTTTGGTTATGAACCACGCTTTTAGCCTTTTATCCAAAAAAAAATTTCTTCTGAAATCGTTTTTCTGAACCACGCTTTTATCCAACAAAATTTTTCTTCTGAAATCGCTATTCTGAACCACGCTTTTATCCAAAAAAAAATATCTTCTGAAATCGTGGTTATGAACCACACTTTTAGCTTAAATTTTTTTTCTTCTAAAAGCGCGGTTCTAAACCACGCTTTTTGGCAAAAAAAAAAAATTAGTTTCAGTATAACTGAACTCTGAAGAAGAAATTTTTTTTTGGGGGTTTTTTTTTTTGTTTCTGTTGTCCTTGTTTTGGTGATAATGTATTTCAAAATAATTTTTTGGGTTAAAATTGTTTTACTAAAACCGTTCTCATGCTATTTTTTTTTCTTTTCTTTTGTCTTTATTTTGGGTTAGAATGTGTAATTCAGCATTTTTTTTTGGCTTGACTAAAGTAAATTTATTTTGTTTTTTTCTTGTGTTTGTTTTGGGTTAGAAGGTAATAATGTAATTCATAAATTTTTTGAGCTTTAGTAAAGCCGTTTTGATGTAAATTTTTTTTTATTTTATTTTCTCTTTGTTTTGGGTTAGAAAGTGTTATTCAGTAATTTGTTTGGGCTTTAATAAAGCCGTTTTCATTTAAATATATATATTTTTTCTTTTGTCTTTGTTTTGGGTTAAAAGGTGATAATGTAATTCATAAATTTCTTTTCGCTTTACTAAAGCCGTTTTCATATAAAATTTTTTATTTTTTATTTTTTTCTCTTGTCTTTGTTTTGGGTTAGAATGTGTTATTCATAAATTTCTTTTCGCTTTACTAAAGCCGTTTTCATGTAAAATTTTTTATTTTTTATTTTTTTCTCTTGTCTTTGTTTTGGGTTAGAATGTGTTATTCAAAAATTTGTTTTGGCTTTACTAAAGCCGTTTTCATTTAAATAAAAAAAAAAATTCTATTGTCATTGTTTTGGGTTAGAATGTGATAATGTAATTTATAAATCCTTGAGGAAAAAACACATAAGTCTCCCACAAAAATACATAGGTAGTACAGACATAAGTCTCCGACAACAATACATTCTGGACACCATGAACTGAACACACAATACATATATAAACATAACAGTTAGACAGACAAATATTAGCCAGACAATCTGACAAACTCATTACGGAAACACTTACTCTAACACAGACATTACATATTAATGCATGACCTAATATTGCCGAAGTGTAGACATTAACACCTAATTCGCGCTTAAATCGGTAGGTGGCTCAGAGTCTGAATAATCCGAAAGCTCAGCGTTAGAGACAAGCTCAGGATCCTCCATGATACCCTTGATAGCTGCATCATTTGGTTCTATTTTGTTCTTCTGGGCATCCTTCTTAACTATGTATAGCTGCATATCACGGGCTAAGCTACGGCGCATTTGAGAAATCTAACGTTGTAGTCTTTCACATAGTCGATCAACATTATCAGGATCTTCCTTTTGGATCTCAACAGAACGTGCTTTTGGCACCTTCAATCGATTTTCCCGACATAATCTTTTCATTTGCACTCGCTTTATAAATATTGCGGGCCACCTCAGAAGTCTAGCGTTTGCTAAACCATATCCTGTTTGATTATCTGATGGTTCCTCCACCAAACCACATGGATCTCGATAGTACTTGGGCATGACAAAATGTCGCTTCCCAAACCTATCATGATAAGCACAAGAGGCATCTAACAAAATAAATGGTGTTTCATCTTCAGCATCGCCACTTTCCCTTCTCCCTCCTCGTCGTGAGCTGTCACCCCTTTGCAAGTTCCTACCACCTCTGCGATTCCCACTCCCTCCCATGAACCATGTAGCCATGCTAATTTTTTAAAACAAGCGAATGATAATTTTGTAGGGCGAAATGAGTTGTAAGGTTGTGTCTTCACCTTTAGTCGTTTATATAGTTGGTTATGAATAGCTTTAGAAAGATGCCCCTGCATGACAATCCCACATATACGAACAAGGTATGAGTTGTCAGTAGAATGAAAAAACAGAGAAAAGGAAATACTGTGTACCAAATCACGTGACTTGACAATCCATCTACATATACCAACAAAGTAAGGGCATGCTCACTGTAAGGTAAATAAGTTAATTCACTGTTGGCATGCGAATTTCTGAATTGAGAATCACTGTAATAAAAAAATCGAGCAAAAAAATCGATAAAACCAAAGCCTGTGCACCAAGTCACATGACTTGACAGTCCATCTGCATATACTGACAAAATAAGGGCATGCTCACTGTAAGGTAAATCTGTGAATTCATTATTGCCATGTGACTTTATAAATTGAGAATCCCACATATATCAATAAGAGATGAGCTGTCACTGTAATAAAAAAATAGAGCAAAAAATCGAGAAAACCAAAGCCTGTGCACCAAGTCGCATGACTTGACAATCCATCTGCATATACCGAGAAAATAAGAGCATGCTCACTGTAAGGTAAATCAGTGAATTCACTGTTGCCATGTGACTTTATGAATTGAGAATCCCACATCTATCAAATTGGTGTTGAGTTGTCACTATAATAAAAAAATCGAGCAAAAAATCGAGAAAACCAAAGTCTATGCACTAAGTCACATGACTTGACAATCCATCTGCATATACCGAGAAAATAAGGGCATGCTCACTGTAAGGTAAATCAGTGAATTCACTATTGCCATGTGGCTTTCTGAATTGAGAATCCCACATATATTAATAAGAAAGGAGTTGTCCCTATAATAAAAAAATCGAGCAAAAAATCGAGAAAACCAAAGCATGTGCACCAAGTCACATGACTTGACAATCCATCTGCATATACGGACAAAATAATGGCATGCTCACTGTAAGGTAAATCAATGAATTCACTGTTGCCATGTGACTTTCTGAATTGAGACTATAATAAAAAATGAAGCTTATGTAGGCAATGTTGTGTTTCATTTAGCTATGCATCATTCGTTGTTACGACCAAACGTTCGTGTTATTTTATTGAAAAGTATGACTATTTGAATTATTTGTTGTCATTTGGGTACAAGTCAAGTTTCTTACATTTTTAGCCTTGCGTTGATTGCTATTTTATTCTAAGAGAATCGTCAATTTCTTGAAAAAGG